AACAATAGAACAGAATGGACACCTACATACGAAACAACTTATCTATTAAACTGATCAGATTCATACATCTTTTAAACAACGGACAATATCAATAAACATTCCATAAACAAATGGAACATGTCTGTAAGGCATGTCTATCAAATATCAAAACTGGTTGGTGGTTCAACCCCTCTGAAAAATATGAAAGTCAGTTGGGATCATTATTCCAAACTGAATGGAAAGATAAAATTCATGATCCAAACCACCAACCAGAACACAATGTCTTGAACAATGGAACATACCTCTTTTTGCTGATGGAAATTCATGCTGGGCCTGAAAAAAAAACCTCTAGTAACCTAACAGTTGGCGAATGTGAACATGACCATTTAGTTTGTTGATTTACCCATTAACAAAAATAAAACATGTGATTTTCCATAGTTTTTTGTATGTTTACTAGAGGGTAAGTCTATAAATCTTCTATAAAACATGGACCATCTATCATCTCTACCCATCGCTGGGCTCTCTGGCAGCAACAGCGTCAAACCGACGCGCTGGTAGAAGTTCAGTGCCTCGGAGAGTGGCTACATGGCAAAGCCAGTGCGATTAATTGCAATTACTATCATTATTGGGTTTAGCTCAGTATCAACTATCGGGCTGAACTATAATAATATATAATACATAATATCTTCAATAATATCAATCAATCAATCAATCAATCAATCACGAATTTGAAAATCACTGAAACTTGCAGCTGTTTAGGGATGATTCCCCCCAATCCAATTCCCATCATTCCAGTGAGGTCACAGCGAGATCCTTACACTTCATCCAGATTAGTATCCATTCTATTCCAAATTAGATTCCCAATGATATTCCCATTCATATCCATGATATTCTCATTTCTTGATGATCGTTGTCCCCATGAAATTCCATTGCTTAATCCCATGAAATCCTCGTATAATCCACTGGTTTTCATCCCATCTATCATAGAAACCTGTTGTTAACAAAGGGGTTTCCAGTCCCAAACCCCCTCTATTAATCAACCAATGGGAATTTGGGACATCTATGCATTACATCATATAAAACACCATCATTTGTTCTCGGTCAAATGAGTCGAATATAGTCGAATCCCAATGTTAAAGCCGCCACTGTTTGATTTGCTTAGACCTTGTGTCTTGCCCATTGATTAAAGATGGGAAACCACTGGCCCAACATTGGATAGTATTCTACTATTAACCGCTATTTATGGTGATTAAACCAATATTATGGTGATTAAAGCCAGCATCCCATACTATCCAAGGTTAAGTCAACCACTGGCCCACCTTTCCCCCCTGACACCTGTAGCTGAAAAGATGCCGGGCATTGCCTCGCGGTGCCATCCCAGCGGTTGGGCGAAAAAACATCAGATTCAACAAGTGCAAGTCTCTGCAGTTCTGGCCCGAGTTATACCAGTTCTAAGTACTAAGAAGTCACCCCATAGAAATAACATGTTTAATCAGTTTAATCCCACTGAAATAACCAGTTATAACTTTCATAAATGTCCAGAACTGTATGGTAAATCCCGATATCTCATGATAGTATGATATTCCGATTCTATCCCACCAAAACTCTCAGATTCTACAAGTTCTGCGGCTTGGTGCGAGTGAACTTCACCGCAGTGATGGGATCAACTAGATCGACTGGATCCCAATGGCCCAGCAATAGAAAGCCACCAGAATTGACAACCGAAATAAGCTCCAAACATGTCTTTTACGGAGGAAATCTATAGTGAAATGTCCTTCCCAACTTAATTTTCCACACCATGATTCCGAGATATTCGGAGTATGATCTCACGCAGCTTCTTGAAGGTCATGTAAAAAAAGGGGACAGTTGCCAACCGCTAAAAAGCCTCACCTTTCCACACCACGTGTTTTCCTCATGGAGTCTGTGTCAAGCTCAGCACTGAGGACACCACAGAAACAGCAGCGAATGCAGTGTGCCACCTGACATTCGCATGAGCTAGCTTTCATGGCCCAACCGGACACCGGAATTGAGAGCTAGCAATTTGAGAAATCCACCGAAATCAGCCGAAGTGGACCCGGTGATTTCGACAAAGAACGTATTCTCCGGCTGCCCGGTTTCGAGTTGCCGCCAGTAACTGTTTTTTGGTGGATAGGACGCACCTTCAATCCCCTTCAAACCTTCAAATCGTCAAACATGAGGTTTGACTGAAATTTTGCGAAAGCCACCAGTTCCAATTGATTATTCTTACAGTTATGGCCATTTATTAGTTATAACTGGTTATAAGTGGGATTATACATGATATAAATGGGGTTATAAGTACTTATAACTGGTAAAGGGCCATAACTGTATATACTCCAATTACGGTGAAGTATTAAACAAATCGGGCCATCCCCCAGCTGCTAGAAGGTCCAGCTTCAGAACACAGCCTTCAGCACCTTGCCAATGCTCGGGCTCTGTGAAGGTGTCTGTCTCCTGAAAACGTTAAAAAATGGTCTGGGGAATGGGAATGCTGCGGCTTTTTTGGGCAGATTGTTTGGAAGATTTTGGAAGTAAAGCCCCGAATCCATGAACCCTCACCATCAATTGGGAGGGAGCTACCCACAAAACACAAATGGCGAAAAACTATGAAAATTGGCACCTCCCCACATCAATTTACTTACACTGGTTTATTGAACCTGACACAAGCTGCAGTTCCAGAGATGTTTTGGGATGATCTTGGAACTCTTTAGAAACAACACAAATACTGCAATGCATGCATAGAGTCTGGTCTGCCTTTTTATCTCAACTAGCTATCGATCATTATCGATCTACGAATGCTGTGCATGGGTGTTCTACATGAAATGTTGATATGTTTGAAACATAGCCCCACACACAAAGTAGGTACTGAGTGAAATGTGAAGGACTGCATCATGACCTGTGTGCCGCACGGCATATTCGTACAGGATTCTTAGTTCCCACACGCCATTGGCCCATGATCTAATGTCTGGTAAATCCGCTCATTTGAAGAAAACACCCGATTAGGTAATTTAAGGTTGCCATACCTTTTTAAGAAGTATATTATCATAACTAATGTGGTATACAGATTAAATGGGCCATGGTCAATAGCAACTGTTAGATTACCAGGTCGGGTACCTGGGTATTGAAACTCATGGACTTGTCACTCCACCAAAGAGGGTTGAGCAACCTGTGGTTTAGCAACAGTGGATACTGCAGAAAGTCAACAACTTGAAAGGATAAAACACAAATGTATAGCAACATCCCCGTTCAGATTGGACCCGAGGGGTTGGGAGCCCCATTTTGTAGCTACAGAACGGCGTCCTCAAGGTGCCCTTCTTACAAGTTGGCAGAACCCAACGTTCACCGAGGAAGGTTTTTGTTACAAAATGGCAGTCCAAGCTGACCCCTAGTTACAAAATGAGTCACCGATTTTGCTCGACTCGCATCCGCTCGCATCCGTTGGCTCGATTTGCCCTTTACAGAATGGTGGGGACTGGGGGTGGCTATACTCGCACTATCCTAGGATCCCTGGGAAGTAACCTGCAACAGCCCGGCCAACCCGAGTCGCGGTTCATTTTTTCCGTTCTTTTGCGTTCATCCGTCTGTTTTGGCGTGACGCTGTCTGAGTGGCCAAGCTAAACATTAAATACAACGTTGGATGTCATAATCAAAAAATATAAATATCGATATATATATATATATATTATCTGACCCCTAGTTACAAAATGAGTCACCGATTTTGCTCGACTCGCATCCGCTCGCATCCGTTGGCTCGATTTGCCCTTTACAGAATGGTGGGGACTGGGGGTGGCTATACTCGCACTATCCTAGGATCCCTGGGAAGTAACCTGCAACAGCCCGGCCAACCCGAGTCGCGGTTCATTTTTTCCGTTCTTTTGCGTTCATCCGTCTGTTTTGGCGTGACGCTGTCTGAGTGGCCAAGCTAAACATTAAATACAACGTTGGATGTCATAATCTAGAAAAATAAATACCGATATATATATATATATATAATATAATATTATATTATATTATATTATATTCTATTCTATTCTATTATATTATATTATATTATATTACATATATATTATATATATATATATATTATATATATATATTATATTATCTGACCCCTAGTTACAAAATGAGTCACCGATTTTGCTCGACTCGCATCCGCTCGCATCCGTTGGCTCGATTTGCCCTTTACAGAATGGTGGGGACTGGGGGTGGCTATACTCGCACTATCCTAGGATCCCTGGGAAGTAACCTGCAACAGCCCGGCCAACCCGAGTCGCGGTTCATTTTTTCCGTTCTTTTGCGTTCATCCGTCTGTTTTGGCGTGACGCTGTCTGAGTGGCCAAGCTAAACATTAAATACAACGTTGGATGTCATAATCAAAAAATATAAAGACAACTGATGTTAAATTTGTTCACGTTGGCATCAATAAAGAGCACTTATCAGACTGCATTGGAAATTGATGCATTCAATATACATTCTTATTTGAGATCTCCTAGGCTATGAAAATTATTCTGTGATTTTTTGATTCCATCCAGTTTGTAGGGGCTATAGTTGAGTATTATCCATTTACGCTTTGAATCCATCCAATTTGTAGCGGTTATTGATTAGCCCTCCAGACTCCGACAGAATGGTCGGGACTGGAGGGTAACAAACTCGCACTTCCAATGCAAAATTCCGGTACCAGGGGGGGGTCCACTTACAAGATGGCAGAACCCAGGGTCAAAATTTTGCACAAAATGGTAGCCAAAAACCATTCTGTAACGGCCCTGAGGCCTCAGATTTAGTAACAAAAATTTCAACGGGTATATAGCAACCATCAAAAAATCAAATAGACACATATTTAATTTTGTAACTATCGGATGCTATAGCTACTACAGCTCAGGATTTTACTAGTGAATACGGGCCGCGATTCGGTTGATTCGGTCACCCTCAACAAAATGTTGCATCTACTCGCTGCTATTCATCAAGCCACTAAGGGGTGCGATCTCTGGGCTAAGAACAACATCTTTTTGCCTTGAAGCCAAACAGGAGCCTTTCCGCGCAGGACATTTTCGCCATTGGCAATGGCACGGTGCTTCGGGGTTTTTGGGCAAAGGCCGATCTCAATCACTGTGACGGACCTCAGAACGAGAGGCAACAATTAGCTTGGAAGGGGACATGTACCTCCTGTCCATGTTGTGCAATTTGAGGCAAAACATCAAGACAAAAGCAACAAACACTATGCAACACAAACAACGTGCTGGCAACATGGACGTACAACCACCAAAACAAAAGAACGGCCTCTGTCCAACAGATGTGAGATTACTTGTTGCGGGGAACCGGGTTGTATATGGTACACAGGAGGTCCTTGTCACTAGGCAATGGAGATCCATGTCCCATGGTCAAAGCATGGCCCTACTAAGCACCCCCCGCAAGTTTAGACTGTGGCGCGTGCATGGGGTGTGTCTAAAAATATGGTACATGATACTCCTATTAGCCTATGATCTCCCATGGTTGTTCATCATTGGACTGTACCCCATGTAAAACATCTACCATCTGGTTATGACTAACAGTTTGCCATGGAAAATCACCATGAAATTAATAGGTAAACCATCTATTTCCATGGGCCATGGCTTCCATGGCTATGTTAAATAACCAGAGGGTACATGAAGTCATGAAGTTGGAAATCCCTGATTTTTGGACAATGTTCAAAGGTCAACCATGGTCAACCTTATTAGAGATGCTGGAGGTTTGATTTTTTTTTGCCCCTGACACAACATGTTCCACTGCTAGCCACATATCTACAAAATAAAATTCCCAGTTGACGTAGCCAAAATTGGCCCCCTGCCCTGTCAAAATACAACCTGCCAATCGAAAAATCCAAATTTCTGGAAGATTTCCATTCCGCTTCCTTTGATGAATTCTCACTTGTTGATTGTTGCAGGGTGGTGCCCCATAGTTAGCTAAATTGGTTTGTAACTCCAAGCTAGGGAGTTTATGGTGTATACATCACACACACATATATATATATTATAACCAAAAAAATACAAATACAATAATTAATACATACACACATATTTATATATATATATACATAGACATGGCTGATGGGGTTATAAACCTTCTGTAACCGGCGCCCACCTCCGGAGCAGGTTGGAAACGCGGTCCATCCCACGTCTCTGGCACCTCGATTGCGACGATTTCCGGCACCCAAAAATCACCCGAAAAGCAGGCGATTTGACACCCAAAAAACGCACATCCAAAATGGAGCGAAACGGTTTTCTATCATCTAAGTTTTTTCATATTTTTTCCATTCATCCATTGGATTCCATTCATCCAAATCTAGTTTGGTTCAGAGACAAAAGATGACAAACTAGAATTGGATGAATGGAAAAAAAAACAATTCTAGTTTGGTTCAACACCAATTCATCCAATTCTAGTTTGTCAAAAAAACAATGGCGTTGACCACGCCAAATATGGCGTGTTTTCAACCCACCATGGTCCACTGCCGTGGCACGTGCTGTGCCAATGCGCACAGACAGCGGATCACCTTCCGAGAGAAGAACAGGATCTGGGGAATACGGAAACCAGCGTCAAAGAGATCAACCTCCACTTGAGCACCAAACTTTCACTTGAAAATTATAGTAGTTTGGAAATATCAATGGATTGGATTAAGGGAAAATTTACAGGAAAGCCCCATATTTAATGGGAAAATCTATGGTTTCCTGTAAATTTTCCCTTAAACCAATCCATTGGAAATAAGATGAAATAAGCCTATCATTTTGCACATAAACTTGCGACATCCTGACATACTTCATAAAGGTCAGGGTTCTGTTCCACAGATTTTTAGCCATTGGAGTGTCCATGTGACATCAGCCGCTAGAGGTGACACAATCTTTACTGCTGTACTAAGCCCATGCTTGCTGGTCATAGATCTCTAATCAAATGTGCAAATCATATGTAAGATACCGTACATATCCAAGAATCTTGTATTTTCCCTTATTTTCTGCGCAAGTATCTCATAATCTTACATTTTTTACAATAGCCTATAGGGATCCAATCCCATTCAGACATATTCAAACAGTATCATTGGAAATGTTCAATCGCATTCTCACCCATGGTGTTGACCTTAAATACCATCATTGACCGATTGACCCATACGGAGGATCAAGCCACGGATCGTGGCTTGTAATGATTCGTGGGGGTTACGATTGGAGTTTTCTCCAAGACTCCCAGTATTATACCCTCAGCTCACTATATACCAAATATATACCAATATATGGGGATCATTACTATGGTTACACCAATGATATTCAAACCGCCATGCATATCACATTTACTGGTGATTCCTATCTATTCTCAGTCATTATAACATCAATATTCTAAAATCTATGCCAATGTTATACCCATGAGATTTCCACAACCATAGTAATAACCCCTTAATATCCCAACGATTAATGATACTGTGGATGGAAGGAATCTTGCAGCACCTTGGATGGTTGAAACCCTATAATGGAATAAACCATCTATCAACTGGTGCAAGATTTCTTCCATCCACAGTATCCGATAAGAACCTAAACCGCCAGTAATCTCCCAATAACCTCAACCATGAGGATTTGTCCCAGCGCGCTAGGCGCGGTAAGGGGTTATAACTTAGGAATTCCAATGCCCCAACAACCCCAACCAGTCAGTAATGATAATATCATTAATGTCAACCCCAGATTAATAAACCGTTGTTTATCAATTAGAGGGGTACTCCTCCAATAGTCATAATAATCATAATATGATACTTAAATGGTACCCTCCCAATTAAACAGCCTAGAGGTTTATTAATCCAGGGTTGACATTATAGTTATACCATGTTATACCCATCATACTGTGGATGGTTGCGAAATCCTGCACCAGTTAGTAGATGATTTATCCCCTTATAATCCCATAACATTTACAGTGTTTCATAGTTTTTCCAATAATAGTTACTTCAAAACCCATAGTTAGTAGATGGTTTTACCGTTATACCCATCTTATAGCGATAAGAGTTATAGTTATCCCCATAGTTCAAAACCATAGTTATAACCATAGTAAATGGTGTTTCATAATTTTTCCATTACCCTCTGGTTATTTCACATAGCCATGGAAAATGGCCCATAGAAATAGATGATTTATGATTCGATTTACCTATTAAAGATGGTGGATCTTTCCATGGCTAACTGTTAGTCATAACCAGAGGGTAGTTCCCAACTTTGATTTCTCGGGTTCCCAAGATGCCACCGTCCAACCGCCCACGACACCCACGACACAAAACCGACGTCGTGTCGCGCCTGCCGAAAGTTGCGGCCCTCCGCCAGATCTGCTGGGACGAAGAGGCTATGGGACAGCTGCAGGGAGCTGCAGAACTGGACAAAATGCCTCGGGATGGGCTCGACGTCATGGGGAGGTCATGGAAATTCATTGGATTTGGAGAAGGTTTTTCAGATGGGAATATGGTAGGGAATTTCCTTCACCATGGGAAAATCTATGTACGAAATATCATGGGGAATGCTATAGTATATACCCTCCGGTGTCATCAAACGTGGCTCAGATATCATTTGAATTTTGATGACACATTTGTACGATGTTTTACGATTATCCATAAATAACCTGGAATAGATCATAGATGATAAAGAGCATATAGAACATGGGAAATGAGCAGAAATCCTCACTAAACCAATGGAGATATCTTTGACAATTCCATCACTATCCATCCATCACCAGGATCCAAAAAGCTCGGCCAGGTCACGTGATGTTTGCCACGCGTTTGAACAACGTCTGAGCACCTTGACCTCCGGAAGAAGGGCTGGCTTCTCATCTAATCACGATGTGCAGCAGCAACTTGGTGAATTGATAATTTTTTACCATGGTTGCCCTGTGGTAATCAAATATGGCAAATTATGGCAATGGAATAGCCCCGGGTTATAAATGATGTTCATTGATTTTCCCATTCAAATTGCCATCTCTAGGGGATTTCCCATTGCTGATCAGACCCACAGCTGAGTTGAGGCAGCTATGATCCTACTGGGACTTTCCAAAGCTACCCTAAAAGTCTGCCCACCACCCAATCTACAGAACCCCAATCCGTTTGAAAGTTGAGAGAAGTTCACGGTTTCTGGATGTTTTGCGTCTGGAAAATGAAGTAGAAATGGCACATGGCATGCTTAAGATGGAGAAACAAATGCGAAGATTCGAACAGCGAAGTGACAGGAACATACAGAAACCGTGATAAGATGGAGAAACACATTGCAAAGATAGGGACACCGAAATGAAGGACACATTGAATAAATGGACAGTACTGAGTAATGACAGTAAATACCCAAGAGAAACACAAATTTAATGAGGTAAACCCAATCATAATCCATCCCCAAAATCACCATAATATATCATATATATTCATATATAGGTGTTATAAACACCATCCCCCGAAGATAGGTTTATGATTGGGTTTCCCCACATGAAATGTGCTGGATGTCCCCTCCATCCAGCTCCCAGACTTCACCCCAGACCTCTAGAGATTCCCACAATCTTCCCTGGCCAAATTGCGTTGATCAAATCGCAAAGCACCTGCGCGTGTCTGCATGAAACCTTTCCGTTTTACGGATTTCATGTTTAGCAAGTAATATAATACTCCATCCATCTCCATCCCATTTACCAACCATTTGGGGGTCATTTTACATCCCAAATAGGGATGCCCATTTCGAATGGATGGTGCATCCAACTAAAATTGGGAGGGGGGCCAACTGACAACACGTAGAATTTCGCCACTGGACCTGCGAAACAACCCTGATATGATGTGGGTGATAACCACATGAAAGAACAACATGTACCCAGTCCATTTAAATGTAGTATATTTATGGAATGGAATGATGTGCATCCAAGTTCCATGCAAATGGAAATAAGCCAGTGAAGGTTATGGTATACACCTCAGTAGTACATGGGTTATCTACTAAACACTAACTGGGTGCACCCCAAATAGCATGTAACATTCCATGAACTTTAGCATTTCACAAACAAAAACTGGTTGGTGGTTTTAACCATCTTGAAACATATTAGTCAATGGGAAGGATGACATCCCATATAGAAAATGGAAAAAACATGTTTGAAACCACCAACCGACCAGATGAACATTCCACCAGACCTGGAGATATTTCACATGACCTTGGATTTGCTGTTGGCGGCCACCAGCCCGCAGCCCGGGCCTCTCCAGTTTGAAGAGCTTCCTGGTCCGCAGCCCCGCCCCAACGGTTGATGCCGATAAAATTTTCGTTGAAACCAGGGAGATATCATGGGGGGAAACCATCATCCATGACTGCCATGACCATTCTGGAACTACTTTTTTCACCCAGCAGTTGTGAAGAAAGTTCTGGAACTACTACTTGTTGAAGAAAATATATATCTTCGCGAGGCTAACGAATTTATTGGGAGGGCCCCCAGAAGATACTAAAAAAACACGCACAGAAAGTAATGAGTCAGGAGCCCATTTCTGTTGAATAAAACAAAACTGATACTCGAAGTTATGATATAGTTATGAAAATAACACATCCAATGTTTGAAAGTGTTGACGTGGGGAACCTGATACGTTGATCTGGTTCCAGTATGTTAAGGCCTTCTCTTACATTGATCTTCCATGGGTTAATTACTTTTACATAAAACATCCAAACGCAATATTTAAGGCGGTAAAATGACAAGCAAATGATGGAAAACTATGGGCCGGCACCCGCATCACTTTGCGCACCCTGAAATCGCACACTCCTCATGAAAAAAACCGTCGTCCAGCGACTTTCCTTTCCATCAAGGCCACATGAAATAACCTGTGGCACTATGAAAAATGACATCTCTGCTGAATTATGTACGTAATTGGTTTGGAAGTGTGGTGCAGCCATCTGACTTCAGCTATATATTACCCCTTCTTATGGTCAATTCCACCGTGGCTTTCCCAAACAACAAATGCTGCCCTGGCGTTGGCCATGCAGGGGGTGTGGACGCAGCATGGGATGAATTCTCTGTGTTTCTGCACCTTTTTCTGCACCCCCAAGTCTTCCAGAAAACCACAAACTTTCTGCAGTTATGGCCCGAAATACCAGTGATAAGTACTTATAACCCCATTTATAACGTGTATAATCCCACTTATAACCAGTTATAACTACTAATAAATGGCCATAACTCTGGCCAAAGGAACAAGTTTTTTCTTTATCGTTCTTGGGATGCAGTCTTTAGAGTCGACGACAGCGGAACCGTCTCCACAAGGAAGTCGTCTGATTGCTGGTCTTTTGCAAGCCATTACATTCCGTTATCCATACCAACCAGATGGCAGTGTGTCAAAACCTTGTACCCCTGGTGAACATCAAAATAGCTGGGATTTATGGATGTTCATCCCCCTAAAAATGGTATTAATAGGTATTGATCCATATCCAAACATACTGTATCACTAATGTGGATCATCATGGCAAAAGGAAATCATATGATATAGATTGACTATGATATCAACATTTGCAGCCATCTACACCTACCTTCCTCTGCAAGAAAGGATCTTATTGTGGATCATATCTCCTTGTTTCTTCGCCCGCCCCTATAGAAACACACAACATATTTTTTGTTTTTCTGCATAATAATATCTGGATACCCTCTGGTAAACTAACAGTTCGCTATTGAAATTGCCTTTATTTACTTTATTTGTTCGTTGATTTCTCTATTAAAAATGGTGGATCTTTCCATCGTTTTTTGTTAACGTTTCCCAGGTCGGGTAATATGTGAGTTCCCTGCATTACCAGTCCATCAAATCCACTCGGGTTCATGATTTCCCCAAGGAACATGCAACGAATTGGAGGTTCTACCCTCTGGTAAACTAACATAACTATGGAAAATCACCATTTTTCATGGGTAAATCAACTATAAATGACCATGTTCAATAGCTATGTTAAATTACCGGAGGGTATTCAAATGAATTCCCATTTCTACTTCTCCCACTTTTGATAGGAAAACAGTCCCAATCTGATGCTAATCGAGTTTACTTCTTTGATGCTTAAATCCAAATTCTTGTTCTTGAACCACCCTCTGGTAATCTAACAAAGGTAATGTCCAATTCAAAAATGTGATTTCCCGCTAGCGATGTTGATTTACTGGAGGGTATCTTAAAAACCTCCATTGGATATAAACGGATTAATCACTAGTACTAATCACTATTCATGGATAACCAAAAATTTGCCATTTATTGATCAATATCTGGTTGGTGGTTTTAACCATCTTTAAAAAATGATGGAGTTCGTCAATGGGATTATCCCATATATGACATGGAAAATAAAATTCATGTTTGAAACCACCAACCAGATATTATATCCGATATGGATCTAGATCTGAATAGATCAACCGATCAAGCCGTTTCCCGGATCCATTCGGCCTGCAGGGATCCTTTTCCAGCCTGAAGCGATGCGAATTGAGGTCCATGGTCCATTGAGGTCCCCCCCAGCAAATCAGCAGATCCATGGCACGTAGCCTCTGGGAAACATACAAAAAACTATGGAAAGATCCACCATTTTTAATAGAGAAGTCAATGAACAAAATTGGCCATTTTCAATAGATTTCAATAGCTATGTTAAATTACCAGAGAGTATAACATAGAATAACTAGGACCACCTCGTGTAGGGTTTATGACCTTTATGATGATAAGGGTTTGTGTAGGGCTTATTTCTGGGTTTTATGATGATAAACCAACATTAAACGAAAACTTCTAGCTGTGGCCCACCTCGAAGCTCTGATCTAAGGCCTATGATGGTCTATGTAAGGCCTATCCAAGGGATATCCACACAAAACATGTACAGGTATACCGGTATACTATATCAATTTCAGGGTCCTGACATTCCCATTCAAAACTTGGTCAAACTCGCAAATTTAGGGGCTGTTTTTCATATTGGGGATGGGATCTTAAGCACACTGCCCCCGGTTCCGGAAATGGCCCGGTCACGCGCTGGTCACGCGCGAAAAATTGGTGGTCAACTTCTTGGAGGATGAACAACACAGAAAATAGGGGCCCCACCATGCACGAGTCTGGACTACAAATTTGACCCGTAATTATATGATTCGCTGTGATCTTGCCAATTTTTTCTATATTGTTGGGTATATTAAATAGACAAATCCGGTCATGGTCATCAGTATATCATCGCCTGGGACGCCAAAATTCACAGTTGAGCATCATTTTCCACATTCAAGGCAGCAAAATCACCGATTTTGCCCGTTTGTGAGTTGGGGCAAGTCCCATATTTCATCATATTTCCATATCCCCAAGTGTTGCTGGTTATTTTCGTTGTTTGTTTAACCTCTGGTAATTAAACATAGCTATTGAACATGGCCCATTTATAGTTCCTTTACCTATTAAAGATAGTTATTTTCCATAGTTTTTTGTATGTTTACCAGAAGGTAATCACTACTAGCCATTACTAACCACGTTTCAGTTTATTCATGGGTTATTCTCATCCATAAATGGTCCATATTTTCCATAGTTACCATGGTCTTTTGTATGTTTACCAGAGGGTAACCCTTACTAACCACTACTAATTAACCAGTACCCTCTGGTAATTTGTTGCATAGCTATTGAAAATTGCCATTTATAGTTGAATTAACCAAGAAAAACTGTGATTTTCCATAGTTATGTTAGTTTACTGGAGGGTATTTTCCATAGTTACCATAGTCTTTTGTATGTTTACCAGAAGGTAACCCTTACTAACCACTATTAATTAACCACTATTTTCCATCGTTATCTTAGTTTGCTGGAGGGTATTTTCCATCGTTTTTTGAAAATTGCCCATTTATAGTTCCTTTACCCATAGTGATTTTCCATCGTTTTTTTCCATAGTTTACCATAAAAACTGTGATTTTCCACAGTTTTTCCATAGTTTACCATAAATGGTCCATATTTTCCAATAGTTTCCATCGTTTTTTTCCATATTTTCCATAGTTTCCATCGTTTTTTCGATGTTTCCATCGTTTGTTTCATCCTGTCAATCGCTCCAAGGAGCGGCCGCGGCGCCGCTCTGGGCGTCGCCGGTGACGTGGTGGATCCAAACCGCCAGGCGCAACTCGTCCTCTCCTAGGGACGTGGAAGAAAAATCCATGGAAAAAAAATGGAAAAGTCATGCAAGGTGGTGCCCCATAGTTAGCTAAGTTGGTTTATAACTCCCATAACTAGGGTTTATGGTAGATATAACTATAGTTCATGGGGTTTATAAACCAACTTATAACTGGGGGGCACCATCCTGTGTCAATGGTATTAAAAACAGATCATGGTATTAACCATCATGGGATTATATGGTATTAACCAATGGAATTATATGGTATTAACCATCGTGGGTCATGCCAACATATGACAACCATCATGGGACTATATAACTAAAAATAAATCATATGGGATTAACCAATGGAATGTAAAAATAGATCATATGGTGTGTATAAACCACATTAACAAAAATAACATTATAGTGGTGAGTAATCTATAGTAATGTAGTAATGGGTTTATATCAATTAATTATTAAAGTCCCATATTAATATTAATGGTTGGCTTAATCCCATATTAATATTATCCCATAGTTATATGGGATTAACCATTGGATATATATATATAATGATATATTCAATGGTCATTCCAGGATACTAAAATGGAGGTACGTTAGTACTATGTTTTGGGCCATATTTCGTGGGGATATTGATCATGGGAAATTGAAATGGCCATTGACCATGGGAAAATTGAGGAGTCAAACCATATGTTCGCAAGTGTCCATTGATTTTGTTTTGTACTACTGAGAATCTGCAACTGAAGATAAACATGGGCATTCTAATAATTCACTTCATGATCTACTAATGGGGATCAAATGGGACTGACTACTATGTGGGGAATGCGATATGGGATGATCAAATGATTTTTTGGGACAAAATGGTGGACTTGAGATTGACTTCAGCAACAACAGGATAGCATGAGGATAGTATGGGGATATATTGACGGATATAAATGAGGATATAGTGTGGTGATAAAAAAAAAATCAGCATGAACATTGGAATCCATTATAAATTGATGATCTAAGCCCTGGGATTCTTTTCATCAACATGAGAGGGTTTTACCATCAGAAAATGAAGATTTACATGTTAAAACGATGGAGGCAAGAAGAACATGGTTTCAACCAACAAACATAGATGTATGTACCCAAGAATCATTTAGATTTGTTTTTCCCACACACATGTTGGTAGATGTGTTTCATAAACAATTGGAATTTACCACCAGTAATCATGTATAGATGATATTTTTTCCAATAAACATGCTCATGTACTTCGGGATTTCTCAGCCATGTTTGCCACCTTTCTGGGTACCAAAACCCACATCCTCAACTCATGGCCCCGCAGCCAAGGAACTCAGTTGTTGCTCTTGCTGAGCCTCACGAATCATCCCAAATCATCCAACCGAACTACGCACACTACGTGGACTAGGTGGGCACCGTCCAGCGCTCAGCCATTCAAGATATTCACCGGGTAAGACATACTCATCAAATCTAATCAGTTACGAAAAACAGCTATTAACACTCCGTTCATCTGTATAATCTATCCCAGTTCGTTGGATATTCAAATCCAATCATTTATTTAAAAACAATGGATGATGGAAAAGAGTCCATTGGAATTACCGTATGGGGTAAACGTTTAGATGGATGTGAAAAAAAACCGTGGTTCGTGCGCTTTCCCGTTCAGAAAATGATCGACATTCCTGCTGGGTTTTCCACATGGAACTGTTAGGTTACAGGAGGTCAGCCGTATTAGCGATTATTCATCGTTACTAGCCGCTCTTCATCACTATTCACCGTCGTAATCACTATGAGCCAATACTAACCATTACCAACCATTACTAGCCATTACTAACCAGTACTAACCAGTACTAACCATTCTTCTCCGTTGCGTTCGCACGTGGCGTCCCACGCCTGGATGGAATGGTCCAAGACCTCCACGGTGCCGTAGTGGTGCCGTGGAAGCGCCGCGCCGCTGGCCGACTGGGCGGGGGGACGAGGATGGGACGACTGGGACCAGTGGGAGCCACCTGGCCGTGAAATCTGCGATATGGTTGGTATTTATTAAAGTGATAATAGTGATGCTTATTAAAGTGATACTTATATGAATACCAACCAGTGAAGTGTCTAAAAACATTGATACTGTGCATCCGGCAGCCATTTCTCCAAGGAGTTTGCCTATGCATCCGGCAGCCATTTCTCTGGGGAGAACCAACCAGTGAAGTGTCTAATAGCAGTGATACTTATTACAGTGTATATCAGTGTACATCTAAATAAGAGTGCTAAATATTGACTGTTATGGTATAGAAATATGCATTTATAACAGTGATAAGTACGATGTTTTTCGACAATATGGAGAACTGCATACGATATTGTTTATTTGTAGATTAAACAATAGCAAACTGTCACCATCTTGGACCTCACGCGACCATTTTGTCCATGTGGCTTCTGCAAAGCTCAGAAATTGCATGGACAAATAGCTGCCCTCAGAAAGAGCTTGCATGAGATGCCATACGGTAGGATACGATCTACTTTCTTGTAACTACACATACTAGGTACAAGCACCGTGCTTAAGTCACATCAGGCGGGAAAAGTCACATCATCCCCATGGCACGGCGGCGATACAGAAAGTCACATCAGGTAGTGGAAGTCACATCAGGGAAGAAGAATCACCATGGCACAGCCTGTTTCATCTATAATGATACATATGCCTAAAAGTGGCCGAAGCATTGCGCACAGCAGGGAAAATGACACATACTTTGCTAATAAGGTTCATATTTGTAAAGAATCCTAATGGAATGATTGGAAAACAGCCGGTATCCATATCATCTCCTCAGATTAAAATTCTATTGGTACAGCGCCCATTTGGCACATAAAATTATATAATCTTTGAAGGAAAATACCATGGCACAAGCCGATTAGCGGTGGATACCCAAGCAGTTCCTAGTCTTTCCAGCTCTGAAGGTCTGGTGCTCATTCTCTTAACAATAGACATGGCCAAGCCTAGAGAATGCGGAACCCAATTCCCAAAAACAAACCTATCTAATTATCTTAAAAAAACCAATGGCAACAATATCTTAGCAGCGTATGCCCCATTGAAAGTATGATGAAATACAAGTTCCGAAAGCTGCTGCATACACAAATTAAACTTTTTCCAGGCGCACGGCAGCAAAACAATGAAATCGTTCAATTACTAAAAGTTGTGGTGATGCCAAACTTGAACTTTTTCCAGGCGCACGGCCTCCCGATACGACTTTTAGAAGCTGATACGACTTAACCCTAGCGCTTGTAATATGCACATCTCAATCTCAATATATAGTATAATTATCCTTATCTACGGTGTACTCTGAAAAATAACCACACATTTATAGGGTAATATCCAACTTAACTAGATCTTCATATAATCACAGAGATTTTCCATTTCCAGGCTTGATTACTGGACGGTAACATCGTTTCAATCACGTATTTCAACCCAATTCCCATCTAAGAGACCATATGAGGCCGCCTCCCCAAAGCAAGCAACAATTTCCGGGCAAATAATACAACATGACTTGTACCATACCCAGATGCTCCATGGTGGTGGTATATTTACCATTATTTACCTACATAACTGGGCCATTTTGGGGGTAAACGTAGGGATTCACATTCCAGCACCATGGAGCATGTGGGATATGTTTGAATTGGGAGTAGGACATTGAGAACAAATTCCCCTAGGCCCTAGGCGCAGCCGGACCCATCCTGATTCATGAACATCCACTGGATTATCGGAGAATCTCGGCCCACATATTCTGAAAACATGGTTATTGGTGGGAAATCCCCTATACAACATGCTACGGTACCCTCTGGTTATGTCAAGTTATAGCTATTGAACATTGCCCAGTCGAAATAGTGGATTTTCCCAGCTAGAAAATTGTTATTTTCCCAACAGTCTTTTGTATGTTTACCAGAGGCTAATATCCCAGGTTCTTACAGTCTCTCCAACCAGCTGGAAGCATCTCCAAATGGGCATGGATGAAACTTGGGCACCTCTAAATTTGGATGGTTAAACATATAAAAATGACCAATCCATCTGCCGATTTAAATAACAATATTATAATATTATCTCTATATATATATACACATTATGTTGACATATATTGACGCAGAAGCCACATCGAACCCATCTAATCTCAGTCCCAAAGTCTTGAATCTGAAACATCCCTCAGTTTCAACAGCTCCAAACACACCATACATCACCATCATCCTAATCCCCCAACCCCCCAACCCCCAACCGCCCAACCCGCCTTTGTCTCGAGGCGGTCCACGGGCACTGAGACCTTCAAGCCTTGCGACCAGCGATGGGGCGCGCGTTCCGCTTGTTGCCGCTGCTGCTCCTCGATGCGCCGTGCCTTGGAGTCCACGGGGTCACAGGATGGCACCCGTTAGGACGGGGCTTGGGGCGCGGTTGCGGCACCCCGGGGGGGTTCAGAAACACCTGGGAAGATGGGAAGATGGGAAAGAAACCTGGGAAAATCCTGGGAAAATTATTGATTTGAGATAGACATTCTAATTATTATCTGTTTACAATCTTTTTAGCTGCAGTATATGTAACCTATTTACAACCCATCTATCACCTGATTCAACCTGTGTGTCAATCCTAGTTGGGGTCAGGGCGAGGTTTCAAACCATGACCAAGCTCAGACTAGACACTCCGCAATCCGCAAAGAGATTTTTCTTTACTTGGTTAGCATGTTTTCCGTTAGATACTGTAATGCACATTTATGCATGCAGATCTCACCTTGTGGCTCAAGTAGCATCAATTACCTACCAAAGCCCCTTCTTGGCCTTGACTGTTTTAGTTAGCGCATGAATCAATGAATCCACTTCCAAGGTTACCAAAAATAACTCGTCCCCACGTTTAGTTTCAAACACCCACAAACCACCGCAACCTCCAAAATCTAAAGATATAGAAATCACAATATCTTAGGATTGTTATATATAATCCATGATAAGTCATGATTCGTCATCCAAGAATTGAGGAAATTCATTCACCAACTTTGTGTAGCTTTAAAAACATCAGTATAGAAGGTGGTGTCCCCCCACTTATAATTAATTGAGTTGGTTATAAACCATAGAAAGTATAGTTCGATATACCATCTGGTTATTTAACATAGCCATGGAAAATGGTCCATTTATAGATGGCTTACCTATTAAAAATGGTGATTTTCCATGGCAAACTGTTAGTCATAACCAGATGGTATCTATCATAAAACAATAGTTATCTGGTTGGTGGTTTCAACTCCTCTGAAAAATATTAGTCAGTTGGGATTATTCTTCCCAATATATGGGAAAATAAAAAATGTTCCAAACCACCAACCAGTTATTGGAGTTATAAACCAACTTAGATGGTTCATTTCCCCAACAGCTCCCAGCTCCACAAATATTCCACGTTTTGATCAGCCGCATATTCCACGGCCACCGAGCCCTGGTATGAGATCACCTGGCAACTGGCACAAATCCTGGGAAAAAACAACGGCAAAAACATGGAAACAAGGTTCTTGTCAACAAAGATGGGATAAACCACAAGTCTTTACCCAGAAAAATACAGAAAATAGATGAACATAGTCCAATAGTAGAGTAGTTGTTTAAATCGTGCCAACAATGTTTATGTTTTTTTACTTGGAAACATGGGTCTTTATAACCAACGAACATATAGGAATATGAAAATGATATGACCCATGAGCAAGGGTCAAACAGCCGCCAGGAAAAGAAAGGACAGTGCTCCTTTCTACTCGTGACTTGATGCTGAGTGGTCAAAATGTTACTGGTCCCTGTCTGCAAGTTTAACTGAAAGAAATGTATATTATATAATTAGTTATATTAACCCAATCAACAAACTATCTATCAAGATTTGATTTGCTCAAGGAACCCCCGCCAAAAAACAAAAACAGATTCCCCAAAGAGTTGATTTCCCCTTGGGGAAATAAACAGCAATCACCTTCAACAAAGCCATGCCATCACCCGAGCCACACCTTGGAGCTGCCTGCTGCAAAGGGCCGCCGGCCAGGCTTTCGGCCTCTGGCCTCGATGAAAACGGACTTTCTGAAGGAGTTGGAATTGGCCACGACCCAAAACGATCCAAAAGCATGGTGAACTTCAGGACGTATCCTGAGGTCTTCTGAGGTGTTCCATAAGAACCAAGGTCAATCTTGGAGGGAATAGCATCTATTCTTTCATTCATGGCTGAGCAGTAACAGCATTTGCCTGCTAAGTCAAAGTTTACACCCCAAAAATGGCTGGTGGTTCACCAAAAATTGAGACGATGCCATTCGAGTTTGGGCATTTAGGAACCCACCTGTGACCCATACCTAGCCACTGGTTGTTTCAGCCAGTAATTCTTGAGCTACCCATATGGCCCATATAGACTTAAATCCGCGATTCGCAGTTCATTAGAACATGTGACAGTGCTGCAGCCTTTTCGACACGATTATATATATATATATATTCACTGTATATACAGGTATACTGTATGTTTTTTTATACATAGTACAGTATATATATATATATTATACACATTATACACTATATGTATTCAGCAGTGGCAAATATCATCAATAGTTTTCTTCACCAAATATAATACCATAATATGTTTTATCCATAGTTTGATCAAACACGTTTTCCGTGGAATTTTATGCCAACATATTTCAGCTAAAGCATACAAAGATGAGCCGCCTCCATCTCCAACAAAAGTCCAGGGACTTTCCAAGAATTTCCAGGTGCATCTATCTTGATGCCATTGGAAAGCCATCAATAAATCCCATTAAATTCGCATTAGACATCCAATAAATATCGCATTCAAGCATCATGTTCAAGGGTTCATAATGCTTCAACCCCATGTCTTCATGCAGGATGCCCTTCGAAAAAACACATGTCATACACTGTGCAGTCCAGGATGCTTCGCCCTCGTGTCCCTCAACTTCATCTTCTTCACCTCGAGTGGTCGCAGTTGGTGAGTGGTCAACTGCCGCATCTCCCATCATCATCATCATCATCGTCATCATCCCCGGCTTGTTGTATGTTATAGTATTGTTGTAACCCACTTTGTAGGTGGGTCCAGCACATTGAACCCGCTAAATTTTCCACAAATGCCGGGTTTCAACATGTTTCAACCCCCATCCCGGCTAAAAAAATGCATTTAATCATTTAATCATCATCAAAATCACAGTTTTTGGCAACCCCATAGCAGCCCCCGAAAAGATAGAACACTAACATCCTACAAAGTGGGGCCCCCTAGATACGATAGCCAAGTTGGTGCACATAACTCCAATAACTTTGGTTTATGGATGTTTATGGTACCTATAACTATTTAGTTAATGGGGTTTATAAACCATCTTATAACTGGGAGGCCCCACATTGTACCAAAATGAGGATCTACATGACTTTTCCCATCAGGCGCCGTCATTGAGAAAGGGACTCTCCACGTCCTGTGACTTCCCTTCAGGACCTGGCTGGTGAAAGGTGATATCAACCAAGCTCAAAGCGAACGAACTGGGACATCCTGTTATATCTTTTATCAATGATGGTGATGTTGTTGATGATGATGATGATGATGGTGATGAGGATGAGGATGATGATGATGATGATGATGATGATTATGATGATTATGATGATGATGATGATGATGATATGTGTACATATATATATATATATATCATCACTAATATATATATATATATATTAGTGATGATATATATATACATATCCATCTATCCATCTATCCATCTATCCATCTGTCCATCTATCCATCTATCCATCTATCCATCTATCCATCTATCCATCTATTCATCTATCCATCTATCTATCCATCCATCCATCTATTGGTGATGATGGTTGATGTTTTTTCTTCAAAACTTAGACTTAATCAGGAGTCTTGGAATATTTCTTATGAACGATGATTGACACTGGTTGTCATAATGACTTGACTTAGTCATTTACCTTTGGCAAGACATGACAAAGGACGCGCACAAAAAATATCAAAAAAATGCAATCTCCGGGCTTGGACTATCGATCTTCAAAAACCGGCGACGCAAAAAAAGCCCGGTGCTTTTTTCAGGCAAATACTGACCCAGTCTGCCATGCATGTTCGGCTATTTGGGATGATTATCCAAATTTCATTCCCATCGAAATTTCGAATGCCAAGTCCCTTAAGTGGCTTACCCCATTTATACATGGTTTATAAAGTTACTAACTACCATCTGGTTATTTAACATAGCCATGGAAAATCACCATGTTTAATAGGTAAACCATCTATAAATGAGCCATTTCCCATGGCTATGTAACAAATAGCCAGAGGGTAGATGCACTGTTTGCGGATCGCGGGTTTGGCCCATTTCGCCTATGACGCCCTCCGAGGATCGAGTGGCAGTGGAAGAAGCCTCCCCTGGAGACGCTAAGCCAGGAAGGAGTTCAATCACTGGGTGCCATAGGGAGACTTTATAGATTTTCTGGTTGAAAAATGTTGAAACCCAGTGATTGATATATCATGGTAATAACAATAACCGGATAATATCTTCTGAAAAGTTGAAAGCCTTTTGCTTTTGACTCAATTGTTATATCAAACATATTATCCTTTCACTCAGAAATTGGTCAGCAATCTGTCACCTTCCAACTTCACCCAGCTATGGGCTCAGATCGTCCCCGCGTGTTCTGTGGAGGTCTTCAAAAAAAAGGGCCAGTGATGTAACTGTTGGTTTATAATACCTCAAATTCTAGATATATCATGATAAATTCACGATAAATTCCTGAAAAAAAACATGATTAATATGTATATATCAATTATATCAATGATCCATAAATCCCTAAATTAATATAATTGAATATAATTGATAAATATCATGCAACTAGGCATTAATATATTAATATATAATATCTTCCATAAATCACACTTCGCCTAGTTGCAACACAGACAACGACGCCATCGAACTGGACCCTGCCTGGATCCTTGGTCTCGGCCCGCAGTTCGGGGCTGAGAGCTGGAGCCTCGACGTTGGGGCCGCGTAGCCATGCTACTGGGGGCCCTGAGATTGGGAAAGTGCCCATTTTAAAAGTAAGTCATCTATAAAATTCTAGAAAATTCAGCAAGTCATCAAAAAAAAAAAAGGTAACTTTTAAATACTTTTAATGCCCATATGCTCCATGGTGCTGGTATATTTACCTACATAACTGGGTGATTTTTAGGGTAAATGTTGGTAAATAGTCCCATAAGTGGGTTAGGTTATCTATAAGATTCTATAAAATTCTATAAGTCCCGTACGTGGGTTAGGTTATTCCATCTGTAGATACCCTCTGGTAAACTAACATAGCGAACTGGAAATTCACCATGATTCATAGGTAAATCAACTATTTCTATGGCAAACAAAAACATTTTAGCGAACTGTTATATAGTCATTACCAGACCCAAATGCTCCATGTATGGAATATTTAGGTAAATATTCCATACATGGAGCATGTGGGAGAGGGTAGGTCAGTTTGTAATCGGCTAAAAATGGCGTTCCGTTTATGAGTTGGATTGGGCGGATTCCAGGATCATCCCCAGTGATCCATCAGCTATTCTCATGGTCAAACTGTTGCAGTAGTTGAATGGCATTTGCGGGCAGCCATGCCGCTGCCTGTGACATCTTGTCAATTTTTCTCCAGGTGGAAATTTCCCCACCTGGAAGATAAAATCAGAGGGTACCTTTTTTGGACCAAGATATCCGATAAAGTAAATCTTAAGGCATTGAATCCTCATCTCCAAGGGGTTCACCAAAAAATGCAAGATGTCCAAAGTGGAGCGTCCACGATTGAAATAAGCCATGTTGAAAACCCCCGGGTCGCGACAGGCGAGATTCTCAACCCGTCACCAATACAATCTGGTCATTGAACAGTTGAAACTGTTTCAGAGGTAAATCATGGGCCATTTTTTGGGATTTGTTGGCCATTGTCTGGGCCAAATATAGCATAGCAAACTGTTACCCTCCGGTAAACGTTTACAGTTTTTGAAAATGGCCCAGTCGAAATAGTGGATTTTCCCATTAAACAATATTAAACATAGTGATTTTCCATCGGTTTTTGTAAGTTTACCAGAAGGTAACCACTACTAGCCATTACTAACCACGTTTCGGTTTATTCATGGGTTATTCTCATCCATACATGGTCCTATATATTTTCCATAGTTACCATAGTTTGTTCTATGTTTACCAGAGGGTAACCCTTACTAACCACTATTACTAATTAACCAGTACCCTCTGGTAATTTGTTACATAGCTATTGAAAATTGCCATAGAAATAGTTGAATTAACCAATAAAAACAGTGACTTTCCATAGTTATGTTAGTTTACTGGAGGGTATTTTCCATACTTACCATAGTCTTTTGTATGTTTACCAGAAGGTAACCCTTACTTACCAGGCCGGGTTGTAACAACCCGACCTGGGGTAGCCTTTCCGGCCAGTCATCCCCGGTCCCGGCACCTTGGAAGGCGAGAGTCCGGACTCTCGCACCTGAAAGCAAAAAAAAAAGGCGTTTGATATGAATCACTGAGCCACACACAGATATCATTATATATATATATATCATATATATGTGGAACTGAACTACATATATATGCATATATTATGTATATACATTGTGATGCCCCCAAGTTTACACAAAATTATTTTACTTATAACTAGAGTTACGGAAGTTATGTTACATATACAGTATATATGTAATACAAATATATGCAAATGTAGACACAGATGTCACATAGTAGATACATAGATACTATATACACAAGGTATATCATCATTATCAACTTCTGAAAAGTCAGAACTCTGCTAAAAGAGTGAAAACACATCATCAAGACTCCATGTGGGTCACCGACATTTCACGGGTGCAAGCCCACCTCCCTGGAAGGTGACAAGGACTCGCGCACCTGCGGAAGGAATCGAATGTTGGGTCTTTCGCTACCGGGTGTTCCATGCTGTTCCAATCGCCCTAAGATAGCCTGAGTGTGTTGCAATTTCATGCAATTTCTTCGAATTTCAAGAAGGATGTGCCGCTCCCAAACTTTTCCGGCTTGAACCAATCCCAAGAATCTGAAAATCACTTGGGATACTGATGATCTAAACAATAACTATTTGAAGCAAATGATCAGTTGGACCTAAAGCGTGTGTGTGTGTGTACACAACATATACATATATAATATAAATACTGTATATAGTAACAATAATTAATAATACTGTACGTCGTAATGCTAATAATACTAATATATATATATATATATATAATATATATATATATCATAGATGTGGATGTGTGTGTGGCTATCTGCTCATGCCATTTCCCATATTTAAACATACAACCAGTGCCAAGCAGTAGCCACGGGTTGGAAACCACCAGCCTGACTCAAGGTCTCATTTTCAGGGGCTCGGATCTGGATACACACCACGTTACCTCGGTTTTTCTTTCACAACAAAAACCGCTGAAAAGCGACGCTTGGGTTTATAGTAAGCCTTGTAAAAGATAGATGGGAGTGAAATCCTGCTAAAGCGATAGATGGGAGTGAAATCCTGCTAAAGTAGTGATAAATCATGATAAATCACTAGTGAAATCCTGCTAAAGTAGTGATAAATCATGATAAATCACTAGTGAAATCCTGCTAAAGTAGTGATAAATCATGATAAATCACTAGTGAAATCCTGCTAAAGTAGTGAAATCCTGCTAAAGTAGTGATAAATCATGATAAATCACTAGTGAAATCCTGCTAAAGTAGTGATAAATCATGATAAATCACTAGTGAAATCCTGCTAAAGTAGTGATAAATCATGATAAATCACTAGTGAAATCCTGCTAAAGTAGTGATAAATCATGATAAATCACTAGTGAAATCCTGCTAAAGTAGTGATAAATCATGATAAATCACTAGTGAAATCCTGCTAAAGTAGTGATAAATCGTGATAAATCACTAGTGAAATCCTGCTAAAGTAGTGATAAATCATGATAAATCACTAGTGAAATCCTGCTAAAGTAGTGATAAATCATGATAAATCACTAGTGAAATCCTGCTAAAGTAGTGATAAATCATGATAAATCACTAGTGAAATCCTGCTAAAGTAGTGAAATCCTGCTAAAGTAGTGATAAATCATGATAAATCACTAGTGAAATCCTGCTAAAGTAGTGATAAATCATGATAAATCACTAGTGAAATCCTGCTAAAGTAGTGATAAATCATGATAAATCACTAGTGAAATCCTGCTAAAGTAGTGATAAATCATGATAAATCACTAGTGAAATCCTGCTAAAGTAGTGATAAATCATGATAAATCACTAGTGAAATCCTGCTAAAGTAGTGATAAATCATGATAAATCACTAGTGAAATCCTGCTAAAGTAGTGATAAATCACTGTTCTATATTTTTTTTGGGGGTTATTATTTCTATGTGGACTATTCATCGGAGATTCGGGGACCATCGGGACCATCCCAAATATGCCAAGATGTGGCATGTTTGAAACCAGAGACTGCGGATATGTCGGATATGAGTCAAGACCTGGCTGACTGTCAGCAGATCTCATACAATGATCATACCATACACTGACCTTTCTGACAACAGAGTTAGTTAATGGTTATTATATGGTTATTAATTTAATGATGGACAATAATGTTTTTTGGTTGGTGGTGTACCTACCCCTCTGAAAAATATGAGTTCGTCAGTTGGGATGATTATCCCCAATATCTGGGGAAAAAATGTTCCAAGCCACCAACCAGAAATGACAAGCATAGCCAACCCCCTCTGATCTAGACAGCCAGTACAAATGTCCAAATCTCAGTGGTATATGTCCAAAATTGTCCAAATTATTGCATGAACATGGTGAAATAAAATCCCCATCGTCCATATCATCATTCAGCATTGGTATGATCAGTTCAATCCCCATGTAGATTTCTAGCCGTATGTATCGTATGTTTCGTATTAAAAAAAAACGCCCGTTCTTGTTGGATAACAAGTCACCCATGGCAACTTGCGCGCCCCTGGCACTGAAAAAACAAAATTCGTCGAGGAACCCATGGAACCGTCTTTGGAAACTCCCACTGCGGCAACCTGGCCGCAATCCGATGCACCAAAGCGTTTGAAACCGGCTATCTGATATGGCAATCTGATCAATGACCAATGAAGATGGAGAATCGAATCAAATATGATAATATATGTGATAATAAAATGTGATAATATACTGTATGACAATATATGATAACATAAGATAAGATATGATCATATGTTGATATATACAGTATTATAATAAATGACACTTAGTGAGACAAGTAAGTTCTTGACCCCTGCAACGTTTCCTGTTTCCTTTTTTCGCTGTCGCCTGCCACAATGAACCAGGAGCCAACTCGAAGGGATGAGTCAGTTCCTGCACGGAGTGTAGTTCCACTCGTTTCCGAAAACAACGGAACACACACACACACACACATATATATATATATATATACATACTGTATATCACATATATATTACCAGGATGTTCATAACATTATAATATATATAATATATATATATATCACAAAAAAGGACATATCTTTACTGTGTGAAAATAAGGAAGTGGAACACAAAGCAAAACATACCAGACAAACTTGATGCTTTTGGCTGTGGCTCTTGGTGTGTTGGATCCGATGTTCCAAAAATCGCTGAACTTCCAGAACATGAGCTGGTGCTAGATCATTGCTAGGTCAAGTCACCAGAGGGTACAACATGGTACAACTCCCATGCAACTCCGTGCTAAATCATGTTTAGTACCCATGAATCTCAGTTTGTTCGGAATGAATGTGTGTGGGTTAAATGGCGCCATTTCTGTATCCCATGTTTGCGCATCCCACCGAAAGCCCGGCCATTCTGAACCGAGGATCTGGACTCTTGGAGGGATCCAAGTCCAGTTCAAGGAGTCTCTCCTCAGTTGCTGGAGAAGACTCTGGGAGCTGCTGGGATGTTCAGCTTTGTATGTAGATACCCTACAAGCCTTAAGTGTTTCAGAATACCCTCTGGTAATTTAACATAGCTATTGAAAATGGCCATTTATAGTGGATTAACCCATTGAAAATGGTGATTTTCCATTGCTATGTTAGTTTACCAGAGGGTACCCTATTTCTGGGCAAACCGAAATACATAGATCAATATAGATCACATACCCCAAACAGTAGGCAACGATACCATGCATATCCATCAGCTTGTTGGCCCGCCTTGAGATGTACCCAGGCGGGTCTTGCGAAACGGTGTCCGCCGTCGAAGCAATGATCCGAAACAAATAGCTGAAGCGGATTCCATCATATTGGGCAATATTATGAAATATCATGCAACATCTATATACATTTCATAATATTTTGGTGTTTGTTGTTTTTATGCCCATCTTTCTTGCTCATATCATAGGGTTCGGCATGACCCGTGCACACTGGGCCCCCAGTGTTTGTGCATTGTTATTGCGGCCCCATGCTTAAAGATTGCAGTTTCCAACCAGCCACACTTTTGGTCGGTAATATGTGGATACTTGTCGAGAGTACTTCAGAAAGGGCATTCCCAACTAGAAGTTGATTACAGTCCCATCAAACCATATTGATATGGTTTGATACATATGAGTACCTGGTTGGTGGTTTCAACCCCTCTGAAAAATATGAAAGTCAGTTGGGATTAAAATTCCTAATATATGGAAAATTCATGTTCCAAACCACCAACCAGGTATATGTTATATCATATTCTCTATTCCACCAACTCACCAACCAAAGAAGATTAATGCACCATAACTCCCACCACTTCAGCCATTCGTGGCATCTACCAACCACCCAGGTGTTCATTTTCTGAATGCCTGCAACGTGCGTTGCCGCAAACCGTCCATTCTGGTTCTAAAAACCTCACAATGTGTGTTGAAATCACAATTTTTAGCGCTTGAGTACTGTAATGTTCCCTTATTTTTCATGATTTTTCCGTTTCCGAGGCTTTCACCCAGGTGTGAGGCTTACCCTCTGGTTATTTAACATAGCCATGGAAGCCATGGCCCATAGAAATAGATAGTTTACCGGTTTACCTATTAATTTCAGGGTGATTTTCCATGGCAAACTGTTAGTCATAACCAGAGGGCAACCACGATTAACCACTATTAGCCATGATTAACCATAGATTACCCTCTGGTGAACTAACATAGCAATGGAAAATGGCCATTTATAGTGGATTTTCCCATGAAAAATGGTGATTTTCCATTGCTATGTTAGTTCACCAGAGGGTAACCATAGATTAACCACTATTAACCACTATTAACCACTATTAACCAGCTCATAAATCCCCATCTTTGTTAGTCAAAATCGCCCAAGCCTGGACTTCGCGAAGCCCAGGCTCCCAGCTGCCGGAGGCTTCGAGGCTGGGACTGGCGTCGCCCCATTCCTCGCCCAACTCCTCCAGAGGTCTCAAGGCCAGGCGCACCTCGGCGAGCAGCCTGACATGAATGATGTATAACATGAACATCAATGGACTATCCCTTTCGAAGTATGTATATATGTAAATATATATATAATATATACATATAGACATATATTTAATTATATTTATCTATTATTATGTGTAACATATATACCAGACGATTCCTTGTGACCTTGTTTGTGTTTTCTGCTAAGTGGCCTTTAGAAAGAGGTCAGTTAAGGAAAACGTAGAAAGAGGTCACTTAAGGAAACGAACCAAACAGTGGCCTACCAGTGACACGCAAGTGACACGCAGGTGACACGCAAACAGCCAATCCTTAAGTGACCTTTTCAGGGTCCTAAGTGACCTCGTTTCATCCCACCTCGAAACCCCAGTGACACGCAAGTGACACGCAGTGACACGCAGTGACACGCAGAAATCATGAGATCAGCCAGGCAAAGAGGTCACTTAAGGATTCATGAAACGAGGTCACTTATGCATGATTGATCTTGTAAGTGACCGTTTGGCACTTTGGGTCTAAGTGGCTTCCATTAGAGGGCAGAAGTAACTGCCTGGTATATATATATATATAACTATAATTATATAAATATAAATATACATATATATATGCATGTATATTATTATTATTATTATTATATGTATATATTATACTATAAATGGGTGATTTACCTACTTCCTAAGTGGAATATGCCTAAATCCCAATGCATTCCAAGATGCAGCGCAAGGTGCCGGAGCATCGGCACGGATCACCACCTGACCGTCAGGGTGGAGTTTCCAGCAAGCTATGTTTGATATGTTTGATTACCAGGGAGATATCAATTGTCATATGATTAACTATGGTTTATGATAGATATATCATACTATTCTGATTGGTGGTGTACCTACCCCTCTGAAAAATCATGGAGTGAACATCAGTTGGGATGATGACATTCCCAACTGAACGGAAAAATAAAAAATGTTCCAAACCACCAACCAGCATATTCATTTTCTCCTCTACCAATTGGTTATCTACCCAGGAAACTTGCGGAATATTAATATTGGTGATAAATGACGGGGGAGGCAACCAATGTTACTGGGTAGATAAAGTGACCCGCACACCATTTTTGTTGCGTTATGAAGTAAACATGAGGTAACTCCCAAGTACCTACCCACCAATTCTATGAGATTGCCGAATATATACCAGCTACTTCATGCGTCCACTGGTCAGTTCCAGGTCATATTTTCACATGCAGTTCCACATCGTCCACGGAAGTTCCAGGTAATATGAACATGCAAACACATACGGAATCCAAAAACGATCAAAAACGGGTGGCAACATAAACTCGCAGGCAACTGCAAATATGGTACAGAATATGGTAAGGCTCCATTTCATCTTAGATATCCAGCGGTAGGGTGAGCCCTATCCGTTTGCAAAGCCGGCGCCACGAGGAAGCTGCGAGCTGAACACCAGGTCCCAAAGGCGCACAGATTGATGCTGTAAATGATACAGCTGCGGTTCCCTTTCTAGGCCGCGGTGACCGTGAGATAGCATTTGGTGCAAATGCTAAGAACCACATGGGAAATACTCTAGTCTTATGAAAAACTTGCAGCCACAGACTGGGCCAGGTCAAAATATTTTTTTTTTCATTTTTTTATCGTTTTGGTTATCATTTTATTTTTCATTTTTTTTATCATTTGTTTATCATTTTATTTTTCATTTTTTTATCATTTTTTTATCATTTTTTTAATCATTTTTTCTTCCAGTGGTGCAAAAAAAAATCCAAAAAATGGAAAATTGCAATTTTCCTCGAGTTTTTTTTTTCATTTTTTTATCATTTTTTTATCATTTTTGCTTCCGGTGGTGGAATTGATGAAAAATGATAAAAAATGATAAACAAATGATAAAAAAAATGATAAAACATGAAAAAAACTCGAGGAAAATTGCATTTTTTTATTTTTCGGATAATTTTTGCACCACTGGAAGCAAAAATGATGAAAAATGATAAAAAAATGATAAAAAAATGAAAAAAAAAATGAAAAAAAATGAAAAAAAAATGAAAAAACAATGAAAAAAAAATGAAAAAAACCCGAGGAAAATTGCAATTTTTCATTTTTTGGAAAATTGCAATTTTCCTCGAGTTTTTTTTTTCATTTTTTTTTCATTTTTCATCATTTTTCATCAATTCCAGCACTGGAAGCAAAAATGATAAAACAATGATAAAAAAAAAATGATAAAAAAATGAAAAAAACTCGAGGAAAATTGCAATTTTTTATTTTTCGGATAATTTTTGCACCACTGGAAGCAAAAATGATGAAACATGAAAAAAAAATGAAAAAAAATGAAAAAAAAATGAAAAAACAATGAAAAAAAAATGAAAAAAACCCGAGGAAAATTGCAATTTTTCATTTTTTGGAAAATTGCAATTTTCCTCGAGTTTTGTTTTTCATTTTTTTTTCATTTTTTTTCATTTTTTTTTCATTTTTCATCATTTTTCATCAATTCCAGCACTGGAAGCAAAAATGATAAAAAAAAATGATAAAAAAATGAAAAAAACTCGAGGAAAATTGCAATTTTTTATTTTTCGGATAATTTTTGCACCACTGGAAGCAAAAATGATGAAAAATGATAAAAAAATGATAAAAAAATGAAAAAAAAATGAAAAAAACGAGGAAAATTGCAATTTTTCATTTTTTGGAAAATTGCAATTTTCGAGTTTTTTTTTTTCATTTTTTTTTCATTTTTCATCATTTTTCATCATTTTTCATCAATTCCACCACTGGAAGCAAAAATGATAAAAAAATGATTAAAAAAAATGATAAAAAAATGAAAAAAACTCGAGGAAAATTGCAATTTTTTATTTTTCGGATAATTTTTGCACCACTGGAAGCAAAAATGATGAAAAATGATAAAAAAATGATAAAAAAATGAAAAAAAATGAAAAAAAAAATGAAAAAAAAATGAAAAAAAATGAAAAAAAAATGAAAAATAAAATGATAAAAAAAAATGATAAAAAAATGAAAAATAAAATGATAAAAAAAAATGAATGAAAACATAAATGAAAAAAAAAAGATAAATAAAATGATAACCAAAACGATAAAAAAATGAAAAAAAAAATATTTTAACAATTTCCAATGTGTAGCTGGCTCGGTTTTTCATAACTCTAGTCTAGGTAATATAGATATATATAGATGGCGAACTATAATAAGTAAGTGTAAATCATGTACTTTCACCAAAGTTTAAAACTGAGCGCCATGTTTCTTGGCTGACGCTTAGGCCTGAAAGTCCTGCAACCAATCTGATTTTCCTCGCCACGCTGGTATACTGGTTGAAGAGGAGTTCCCAAGAAACCTGGGATTCCAGTATAAAATGGGAGCTCCTATCATCAATTCAGATTGCTAAACTTCACAAATTGTCAGACAAATCATCATAGCACCCACCCCCCGCACACCCCGAAAAAATAAGTTGTCACTATTTGAGCAACTATGATAAATTGTTTGAATAGCAACTATCAATAAATTCTACTTTTTCAATGGGATTGCTATATAAATTGCTTGCAAAACAGTGAATTAAGCACTCCCATTCTTCTCTAGCTGTCACTTGTCCAGCTGGGCTATTGCATCCTATGTTGCTTTGTCCTATTGATTCATATAATATTCAATATGATATAATATGATATAATGATATAATATCATATAACTATAATTTATACATATATATATACAATATAATCATGACCCACTAAACTGGGCTTATGATGGCTTATGTCTATGTTTTGGCCCAAAAAAACACCATCCACATCAAATTTCAGCAAGTTTAATTGATCCCCACGAGGTGAGGACATAGGAGGCGCCAAGGAAAATCTCCATGCGTTGACCATGTTTCATTAAAATCTGTTGGTGTACCCTCTGGTAAACATACAAAAAGCTATTGAAAATGGCCATTTATAGAGAGTTTTCCCATTAAAAATGGTGATTTCCCATAGTTATGTTAGTTTATCTGTTGACTATCAACCAATATCTATGTCCTAATTGCCATGAATCTCAACTATCTGTTGCTTAAAATTACCATGAAACCCATCTCTTTCCTATGTCAACTGGGTTTCTTCTTGGGGGTTTCTCGACCAAAAATCCCAAAATCCACCTCCAAACCTCCAGGTTCACCGGTGAGCCTCACCCGCACCTAGGATGATCGTCGAACACATGCAGCCAATACCAGCTGGTTGGTGGTCAGCTCAATGGTTAATATACTGTTAATAATGGTTTAGATTCATGGTTATTATATGGTTAATATCTGGTTATTATGTGGTTAATGATGATTAATAATAATAATACTGGTTGGTGGTGTACCTACCCCTCTGAAAAATCATGGAGTGAAAGTCAGTTGGGATGATGATTATTCCCAACTGAATGGAAAAATATTCTATATAAATGTTCCAAACCACCAACCAGCCAGTCATTCAGTCATTCAATTTTTTGAAGTTCACCGACCCTTGACTATTGACATGTTCTTACGTGTGCACTCATTGCATTCACGCATTTATGATGGTTGAATGGCCGTTGAAACCCTGACCCAAAATACCAGATTGGAACATCGGTGCTTATCACAGGCTGATCCCGGGGTCTTGGTAGTAATGATCAGTGATGATGCAACATACCTTACAACAACTCAACATAACTCACCTGCACACATAATGTACTAAGCCCAAGGTGCACAAACAAAAAAAAAAACATCCTTGAACTGATCATTATTGTGCTCAATTTGTCGTCATTCCCAAATCAGAACCAGCCACATACTTTCGGATGCTGAGTGCGGCGGATACGCCATGAACTTACCCAGTTACAGTGTGTCCATTTTTTGTGTCCCATAAAAAGGACTCCCAGAGGGCCCCCACAGGTTCGACAGAATCATTTAATTTACATGTTTGATTTGAAAGCTTCACAAACTACCTCATGGATTTTATAACTATCGTGGTGGTTGGGAAACTCTTAGTTTCTACCTTCGCTCCCAATGACATTTACCCTTTGGTGTCCTCAAACACAAATGAGTTAATCAACCAACAACGGCCGGTCGGGGCGTTGTTACGTGCGCCAACCGTCCTCCGACAATATTGGACAAAGATCATCAACATGTTGATGATATAGAGTAAAATGATACAATTCAGCAAGATTCGCGTCATGCATGATGGAGATGCTAAGCTTTGATAAGCTTTGATTCCTTCAAGATGGAGATCAATTGATACATTTGGAAAAACAAAATGATCTGTGGACTCGAGATCAGAAGTCAAAGAAAAGGACGAGGTCGGGCAGGTCGTGACGTCATCCCCAACTTTTTTCAGCCAGGGGCAGCCAGGAAATTTTTCAGGAGTCTTTGCCAAGGTCAGCTGATGTCAGGATTAAGTCCCAACACATTCGTGTCGAAGCTGCCCCCTTCACTGCCTTCACTCCGGAAATTTCACAAACAGAACGTAGTAGGATGAACGTTACCCTCCGCGAATTTAATAGTTTGCGAACTGGAAAATGGCCCAGTCGAAATAGTTGATTTACCCAGCTATAACATGGTGCTTTTCCATAGTTTTTGTATGTTTACCAGAGGGTACTACCCCACCCCACCCCGAAACGTGATCTACGTGGAGAAGAATGAATGAAAAACCGCAGTTTCCCCCCAGATTTGAGTCAAAAGATGTCAGCGCGTTTTCAGCCCGACCGAGCCACCAACAAACAGGAATCGTTCAATCGTAGATTATTTATCATCCGCTTGTATCCCACCATGCCCCCCATTTCTCATTTTGGTTAATCCCAATCGTGCACTGATAGTTGGAAGATGAATAATATTTCCCAATCATAGATGAAGAATGGAGTTCTAGATTGTTGATATTGTTGGATAAATCATGATCAATCAGTGAATTTCGGGTTAATCAATCAACATCAACCAACAAACAATCCCCACAGCTATGGCCATTTATTAGTTATAACTGGTTATAAGTGGGATTATACATGTTATAAATGGGGTTATAAGTACTTATAACTGGTAAAGGGCCATAACTGCAATCATTTGGGGTACCACCTGGCACTACCCACGCCATGACTCCGACGCCATCGCCCAAGGCGCACTGCGGATCACTGCAATCGCCGACGACGGCACCGGCGTTTCGGCTCCGGAGGGCTCCGGCTCCTGCCGAGAAAATTGGTGAGAAAACACTTCACTTGGTGCAGAACGTGACCATAGAAATCAGTTTGGTGGTTTTAACTATCTTGAAGATATTACCCTCCGGTAAACTAACATACCAGGTAACAATGGAAATTCACCATGTTTAATGGGAAAATCAACTATAAATCACCATTTTCAATGGCTATTTTGACATAACCCGAGGGTAGTCAATGGGAAGGATTATCCAATTATCCCATATGTTATGGAAAATAAAATTCATGTTCCAAACCACCAACCAGAAATCGTCCAATGTGGTCACCGTTGGTTTTTCATAACCTTTGGGGTTTATAAAAACTGGTTTCACAATGTAGGGCCTCCCGATGACGACTGTTGGTTTCGAAAAGCCCCGAGGAACCCCATAGACTTATCTTCCGCAAAGCTATAGTTATTTGATCCTGTGATTCACCATTTTACCTATCTTGAGGGGGGCCACATTGTAGAAATCAGTGCAAATAAGGAACTCATTGTTGGCAAAACTGCAAAAACGCAATGACAGTATCTGATTTATTACATGAACTATATCTATTTATTTGGAAGGCGTTCACATGCATTGACCATCTCAGCATCGGCTTGCCATCATGACATTGAACATCCTATACAGTATCAATATGTATCAATGGGGTTTTAAATGGCAAACAATGTGTACATGCATATCATCATATCTATATTATGTAAATGTATATCTGTTATCTCGGTGAGTAAAATAGTGAGTTTTCCATCGTCATGTTTGATCACCAAAGGGTATCATAATCTACCTGAACTGCGGCTACACCAAACCCGACTTTTTCAACATCAACGAGAAAAGCCCTGTTTGCATGACCTCTTGCATACCTTTAAAGGTTACCAGGTTGCCACTTAAAGTGGACCAAAGATGCCCAGCCCCAACCCCCAAAAGCAACAATTGACCAAAACAGAACTACCCAGGGACCCTCGAAATATCTGCCAAGATGGTAAAAGGTGGTAAAAGTATGTAAAAGGGCCAAAAAAATATTAAACCTGTATCTGATACATGGCAAAACACCAAATTTTATGGCTACAAACGGAGGGTCTAGACATCTATGACCTGCAGCCTGTTTCACTCCAAACAATATCACCATGACGGGACGGCTGAAAACACGCCCTGGGCCTGGCCGTTATTGTGGCTCGGAGCATTCAGGAACTCCAGAAGAGCATCTGAGTATCGAACTCCTCGAGCCGCTTCTGAAAAACAACATGAGATGGATGGATCCTTGATATGAGTATCATCCATCCATCCATCCATCTAAGACTCTTTGTGTTTTCCTTTCAGTGCTTTAGATATTGCAGAATGTTGCAGAAATATTAGCAGAAAAACATCATTTTTACCTTGGCCCGGCTGAAAAACTATCATTGGCTGGTGGTATACCTACCCCTCTGAAAAATCATGGAGTTCGTCAGTTGAGATGATGACATTCCCAACTTTTCATGGAAAGTCATAACATTCATGTTCCAAACCACCAACCAATGATTATTAACCATCATCAACCATCATTAACCATCATTATTACCCCAACCAAATTGGCTGGTGGTTTTAAAATGCTTTAAATGGTCTTAATCCCACTTAACCCGTGTCCTGCAATCAACACTCGTCCCGGCTAAGGCGGAACACAACGAACATGTTGAAAGAACCCAAGCAAACAACAAGAACCAATGGTTACCCTCTAGTAAACTAAAGTAGCTATTGAACATGGCCCATTTATAGTGGATTTACCATAATTTACCCATTGATAGCATGGTGATTTTCCATAGTTATGTTAATTTACCAGAGGGTACCTGTGTTACCTGGTTGCACCAAAAAAAAAACGGTGCTCGGTTTACTCAGGTCATGTCTGACAACGTCTCGTAAGAACTGATCAAGGGATGGAATGCAAACGTGGCGGATATGGGACAAATATGGGCTAGGCCAGGCCAGGCCTGTGATGGCCTGTGCATATATAAATTATCTCATCTTTTCAGTACATCTGAAGCATATATTGAAACATCAATCGAATGAATTCATGTTTGATCATGATCACCCAGATGCTCCATGTATGGAATATTTACCTACATTTGAGCCATTTGTGGGGTAAATGTAGGTAAATATTCCACACATGGAGCATTTGGGATAGGTAAATTTTCTGGTAACTCATCTATAAAATTCCAGAAGTCCCGTAAGTGGCTTATTCATGCTTATTCCATCTGTAGATACCCTCTGGTAAATGGAGCATCATGATCACAACAGAACAACAACCAACACCAGCCACTTGTGATGTCCGAGGATCATCCTACTGGATGTGACTGGTGTGGTGAAATTCACCCTGCTGAGTTTCATAACTGTCTTTTTTTTCCATTAAGGACTCGGTTATAACATGTTATAACCCCCATCTACTATATAGACTGATCCCTACTCACAGATTCCCCATTAAGGACTCGGTTATCACCCCCATCCCCCACCTACTATAGACACTGATCCCTACTCACAAGAGATATTCCGCTCAAGTCCGCTCCTTCAATATCCAGCAGGCCGACAATGTATCCTGGCAGGACGTTCCGCAAGGAATTTGGGGGGCGTTAAAGTGACCGTCGTTTTGAAGTTCTGCCACAGCCATGAGGTGGCTTGTCCAGAACTTGGAACACTGTTCCTCCATGTCTGAAGATTAAATCAGCTCCAAAACACGTTGACTTCCTAAAGCTCTAAATAGATAGATGATGATAGATGGGTCTGTCTCTGCATGGTAATTCTATACCACTGAAACTTGCAACGTTGGATCGGTTCCGTTTTTTCGACTTCAGTGGGCTGGGAATAATTGGGAAAATCATCCCGAGAAAATGCTTCCAACATGTCAACATCCCATCCTAATCTTTGCTGATAAACATGTGCAATTTTAGGATGATTGGGATGATTGATTGGGTGAACATGGGTGAACAACAATCCCAACATGTGCAATTGTTGGGTGAATAGAATCCCGTATAAACAAATCCCAACATGTTTTGGGCAGGCGAAAGACCCCAAAACGGGTCCCACCTTTCCCTCCATCCCCTGCGGCGCACCGAAGAGCCGTGCGTAGCGCTCTTCCATCCAGTTGTCGCGGGTGGCTTCGCCACCAAAGACCCGCTGCCAGAAGGGTTCCTGCAGGCCAGGTGCTGCCAGGTGTCTGATGTGAAAACAAAGATGGGCAACGTGACAAAATAAACCAATATCATTCCAATCATTCCAATATCACACGCCCCCTTTGAAGGGTGATCTCTGAGGACGCACAGTCGTTGCCCATGTTGCCCAGGGGCCCGCTTTCTCAGAAGTGCAGCAAAGTAGAAAACATGTTTGAAACACCTCAATCTGCCCAGAATTGGATGAAATTCATCATGTGTCAAACCCCTAACCCCAGTCACAGTCCCGAAAGGTCCTTGGGTGGAAAGGTTGGGAGTTGCTCTCGATGGAAAAGCTCAAGCAGCTTCACGTGACATCTGCGACGTCGGATGTGATGGGTAGATCTACAAGGGTGGTGCCTCCCAGCGATGTTTGGTTTAGTTTAACCCCACTAACTATATGGATATGTATACACTGATCTATATCATAAACCATAAGATTTACATAGTTATAAACTAACTTGGCTATCTATCGGGCCCCAAAAAAAGTGGAAATGCACAGCCCAAGAATTGCAACTCTACGGGGAATATGTTGATGAAACAGGAGATTTTGGGGTTACCCTCTGGTAAACAAACAGTTTGCTATTGAAAATTGTGATTTATAGTGGATTTACCCATTAAAAAATGTGATTTTCCATAGTTTTTTGTATGTTTACCAGGTCGGGTACCCCATTTGGACACACCCAAACTCAACAGCCTTTCTGAGTTCCCTTCTCAGCACCGAATCCGGTCAACAAAAATGGATCCCCCTATCCCATGACGGATCCATGGTGCTGGTATATATGCTAACATGAAGGGGATATATTGATGGGATCCATGTTACCATATATAGCAGCACCATGGATCCTATGGGTATGAATAAACAACTTACCATTGTGGTTTCGCTGAGATCACCCGAAATAAGTTAGGTGGTCTTGTTGGAAATGATGTTCCAATTGAACACGGCTATGTTGTTGGATTCTATGCTTCCTTTCTGGCCGGGCAAAGTTTTGGATCAAACATATTTAAGAAATCATGAAGACATATGAAGACTATTATCCTCTGGCAATTTAAACATAACCATACATAACCATACATAACCTATCTCGAAATGGGTAAACATAACCATTCATGTTCCATAGCCATGTTTTTACAGTACCAAAGGGATCCTTAAATGGGCAAGTCCACCAGTAGAAAATGCTCAATGTGTTTGTCGACTTACAACCCAGTACTATACATAGGATAATTCACCAACCCCGGGGGACTTGTTCCCCACAGTTATGGCCATTTATGAAAGTTATAACTGGTTATTTCAGTGGGATTATATATGTTATAAATGGGGTTTTCTTAGTACTTATAACTGGTATTTCGGGCCATAACTGCAGGGTTATGAAAACCACTTACCTAAGTGCTTGGATTTATGGTGGATTTCCAGGAAAAGCCACACAGATTTAAGCGAAAGCGTCGCCTGAGAAACTCGCTATAGCGTCGGGTGACCACCCAGCACTCTCGGCCGTTGCTGAGTTGCAAACTGTACCAGACCTGAGATCCGACCCAACCACGCCATGGGAAAATCATGACAAAACCATCATGAGGTTTACTTAAAGATGGAGACTTAAGTGACAATGATGGTGGTTTAACCAGAAAAATCTAGGGTATACATGTAAATCGATGATATATCGATGATTAATCTTGGATTTGCTCAGGGGGTAATCAATTTTTGTTCAAAGACTCATGCCAGCAGATTCCCCATTGGATGCACCGCTGGGAACATGTTGACATTCTCTGGCTCTTGGTGGTTGGATTTGTCTGGTACCATAGGGTACCCCAAAACCGGGTTTAGAACCTCATATTTTGCCTGATTAAATAACATTTGTTTGGGAGATACCCTCTGGTAATTTAACATAACTATTGAAAATGGCCATTTCTAGTTGATTTTCCCATTAAAAACTGAGATTTTCCATAGTTATGTATAGTTATGTTATATAGTTTACCAGAGGGTATCCAATTCTCTGACACACACGTTTTTAAGCAGTCTGGATGAGGAAATACCATGAGTAGCGTGAAATAGCATGAAATAACCCACAGACCAACCCTTCATTTATGCACTTCATCCACACATTCACGGCACGAATCTCCGAGGTTTTATAGGACATTTCACCTTTTTCTTGCTACATCACATCCTCCACCAAATTTTATTAAATTAGGACATGATTCATGACATGAACTGGTTGGTGGTTGATCTACCCTTCTGAAAAATATGAGTTCGTCAATTGGGAGTATTATTCCCAACTGAATCGAAAGTCATAAAATTCCATGGTTCCAAACCACCAACCATTGAATTTCATAGGATCCTGTCCCAGCAAGGTCAAAGTAGAGGTCTTCCCGACTCGTCTTCCACCGACTCATTTTCCAAGGAACCAAGGTGTCGGTCCTGAACATGCGAAAATCCAGCAGTTTGATCACCTGACCGGTTTTTTTTGTGGCGTGGCGTTGGTGGCAAAGATCTTGGGTACTGGGGATTCATGGGGATTAACAGAGATTCATGGGGATTAATGGGGATGAATGAGTTTCTGGCTTTGCAACTTGAAAAGTCTAATTATGATGATTTTGGGGCTGGAGGATGGTGTTTTTCACTTCATTCCAGAGGTGCAATCTTGTGGAACCATGGAAGAATCTTCCATGCTCAAGAGGAACATGACCTTGAAATCATCTAGAAGTTCAAGACATGGTGGCTGAACCATGCAGCACTTCCGCTAGCAAAGTTGGTTGAGGTAGGTCATGTAACCATATGCCTACCAAGTTAGGAGGAGGGTTTGAAGACTATTTCTGTAAACCCCTTCGTCTAGGCATGTCCTACATTGTTCTACGCGGTCATGATTGGAGGACTGCTTCTTCATGATTGGCACCCAACAACTAGCTGGGCTTCGGATCAAGATAGCCAACTATCATCAACTATCATCAACTATCATCAACTCATATCTATCATCAACTATCATAAAAATACATTGGCTAGATATTAGTACAACTGAAGTGACACGGCACCCTGCCGGGAAGGCGCTGGCACCTCTGACGCCATGAAAAACTGATCAATTCCTCGGTGGATATGATGTGGGTGAATGGGATAGAGTCAAAAAACATGGGTTATAATGGATTATAACAATGGTTTATAAGTTATAATCATAATGGGGTATGATGGGTTATAACATGTTATAGCCCCTTTTCCTTTGGAGCATCTTTTTGTGGAAAGGAATGACATCTTTTCCTTTGGAGTATGTGCCACAACAGGTTTCATGGTAGACCCCATCATCTTCCCCACGAAACTTGCCATGTCAAAATGACAGCAAAAGACGGTCTGAACAGCCGGAACATAATAAGTAAAGAAATCAAATAACAATAACATAATAATAATTAATCATGAATCATCATCATCATCATCATCCTGATTCTGATCCTGACCCTCATCAACCTCCCATTTCGCAACAGAGAGAACTACTGTTTGCAACCACCAGTCAGTTGGGAATTTCACTTTATCATTGTCGGTTGCATCCCTTGGTTGCTCTTCGCTGACCAAGACGCAGTGCATGCACTGCATACTACACCGATCGGGTGCTACAACTTGTGTGCCTGAGATTGTCTGAGTAGTCTGTAATCATCATCCTTGCAGCTAGCGCATTGGTTTTCAACTTCGGACGGGAGAAAGAAGATGAGACAAAATTGGCTGGATTACGGCCAAAGCTTGAAATCTGTGGCTTGAAAATAAGTAGCTGAAGCAGCGTAGAAATTCATTAGGCCACCCCCAGCCAACACATGCGGCTTGTTCGTGTGTTCAAGCTCCATCCATGTTAAACCCAAGGAATGGCTTGGAGAAACGCAAGTTTGTGGCCGGTGATTTGACAGCTCTGTGCATCTCTTTACCATCAACAACTGCAACTTTTGCTGGATCCTACCATCTGGCATTCCTTTGAGTGTTCGTACAAGGTACCTTTCGCCTGCATGACGTGGCAAAAGTCTGAAGCTGAAACACCAGCGATGCAATCCTTAAATTCTCATGAGGTCATGACAGCCAAACGTCACGTCTACAAATTGCAGGACCTCAAAACCTGAACCATTGTGGGTTCGGAATCAGGAACACAAGATAACATTAGATGTCGAATTAAGTGGCATGATTGGCAAGTACAGCCTTTTTGTTAATAATTATTTTGTGTCATGCGATGTTTCGAGGCGGTATGTGATATATACCTAATTAATTATGTAATGCTTACAATGTGAGGCCCCCAAGATAGCGTTCAGTTGGTGCACATAACTCCAATGTCACTATGGTTTATGGTACTTATAACTATAGTTACTGGGGCGAATCTAAACCAACTTATAACTGGGGGGCCCCACATTGTATGTATGAAACGCCTTTTCTATTTTCCTAAAGCCACCCTCAAGTGCACCATCTACAGTATATAATGTGCGTTTTTCACAGCACAGTTTGACGCAAGAAAGTCATCAAATGTCAGCCCCACAAAGGATTTCCAGCCGACCCAACAAACCTAACACTGAACCCCCAAAAGACATCAGTTTCTCGGAATTGGTTCCCTGAAGTGAAGAAAGGGCAACTACCGACCAGCCATCACAGACTGGGAATAGATGAATAGCAATCTCTCAAAATCCTCAAAGAACATCACCTAAATAAGCAAGCATTGGTCAAGGGCTTATTGGTCAATCATCAACAAAAGTAATCAAAGTTACCTCCTATAGCAGAATACCCTCTGGTAATTTAACATAGCTATGGAAAATCACCATTTTTAATGGGAAATTTCACTATAAATGGCCATTTTCAATAGCTTTTTGTATGTTTACCAGAGGGTAACCTCCTATAGGTGCTGTTCAAGCTATATATACCATCCCACCTGGCCAACAAAAAAACCCACGTCGCGCCCGCAAATCGGATCCTGCTCATTCAACTGGCCTGCGCAGATCAATGGAGTAGGACCTACTGGGCGGGAACACCAGTGAAAAAAAAAAAATGTTTGCTATTTTCCCATGATTATCCATTGGCCCATCATTGACCATTATTTCACCAGTATTAACCAGTATCACAGGGTGGGGCCCCCAAGATAGCTAAGTTGGTTTATAAGTGGCTTAACAATGGTTTATGGTAGATATAACTATAGTTAATGGGGATTATAATGGTTTATAAACCAACTTATAACTGGGGGGCCCCATCCTGTACCCTCTTGCAATTCAACATGGCTATGGAAAACCACTCTTCAACATGTAAATCATCTACAAATAGGCAATTTTCCATAGCTATGTTAAATTACCAAAGGGTAACTCTATTGAACCACATTCAATCACTGGGGTGACAGGAGAATCCATTGATAAACACATGAGCATGTCACTTTAGACTTCGCAGGATTGGTGTGAACTGTTCGCCAACAACAACAACAACAACAACGACGACCGAAACAAATCACTATACTTATCACTGACCATCCCTATATAATCATGACCAATTATTTGCACCCAGTGGTTTTTTTTTCGGATATCCAAGTGCTTAAGTCATCCCCGGAGCAAATAAAGTTGATGGTTGGCCTCCTGCAGAAGTCCAAGTCCTTTTCTACCGCCAGAACTGCAGTGGATCCACCCAGCAAAGAAATCCATATGGATAAATGAATCCGTTGAAATCCCACCATAAAGTCCACCAATAAATCCCAGTGAATCCCTTGGAATTCACCATGTCCGACATTTGATGAAAAACAATGAAATTCATCATGAAATCCCATGAAAATCATTACCCTCTGGTAAACTAACAGTTTGCGAACTGGAAAGATCCACCATGTTTAATGGAAATTTATCAACTATAAAAGGACCATGTTCAAAGATCCACCATTTTATAGCTTGGAATTTATCAACTATAAAAGGACCATGTTCAATAGCGAACTGTTAAATTACCAGAGGGTAATATGATCAGACTTTCACATAAACAACCTGACGAACCAGGCCAACGTTCACATATCACTGTGGCTTAAATCACAAAATCAACAAACAAAACCATGGGCCACATTTTTGGCCTTTTTTTTCGCATCGGCCATGGATCAATATTTTCAATATGTATAAATACCATAAGAGTTGGGAGGGATGAACATCCATAAAAATGGTATTTCTAAACATTGAAATCCATTTAAGAATATAAAAATGATAGCCATAGATGGATCAATATTTATAAATACCATCATATGTGCCATTGTCAAAACTCAGTAGGTAGGGTATGGTCATCCCATTATAATAGGACTCCTTTTTAAATGGTTGTTATAATTACCTATTAACCATTGGATGACCATCCCCTATTAATGGTTAATAATACAGTATTGACCATTGCTCATATGAACATATATGAACATCCATTTATCAGGGAGTTTTAAACATCCATAAATCCCAGCAATTTTGATGTGAACAGGGCGACTTGAGGTGACAACTGACCCATCCGTTCTGAACGGCCTGAAAAACTGACCTAACGGAGGCGGGATCCGAAGGACATTCAGAAGCGGGATGCCCCAATAGCTGGATGGTTTTTTTCGTGGAAAATCCGATCTATAAATGGATGATTAATATAGTGATTATATAACTGCATATAACTGCGGGCAAAAACTTGAGATTTTCATGGATATTCCGATATTACATATAAGTGATTGATCCCTTCCCCCTAATACTAACCCCCCCAAATAATAAACACTTCAGGTAGTTGTTATTATTAGGGGGTATTTATTATTAGGGTTCCCCCTAACAGTAAATTTAAAACACTAACATTTTAAAAATAAAACTATTTCAAAACTACTGATTAGATTTCCTTTTAAAATCTAATGAACATATTGCCGACAATTGGATTTCGTAGCTTCCCCCTAATAGTAAATTTAAAAACCTAATATAAAAAAAACAATATTATTATATTTCAAAATCGATTAGATCCTTTTAAAATCTAATTAACATATTACCAAAAATTGGATTTCGAAGCTTTCCCCTAATATTATATTAAAAATATAAAATAAATTGATTAGATTTCCTTTTAAAATCTAACTAAAATGTTGCCAAAAATTGAATTTCGAAGCTTTCCCCTAATATTGAATTAAAAACCTCAATGTAAAATACATGTTTTGTTTTCGACCTTAAAAGACAGACCCTAATAAAAAACACCCCGGGGTTGACTAGTTTTTATTATTAGGGAGAAACCCTGAAATGGTAGCTTTATTTTTAACTTGTTTTCTAAAGGGGATCAATTAAAAATCAAATTGGCCAACCTCAAATTTTCCAAAATTGGAGACGGACCCTAGTTTTTGTTATTTGGGGGGGTTAGTAATAAGGGGAAGGGATTATAAGTGGGGATATGCATGGATATTCCATCTATAAGTGGGGAAAAATATCCATCTATAAGCCCTACCATGGGTAAAACAATAATAAATAAACCAACCAGCCATGACTGGGAATGGTAACCATACCACCTATATATCTATGCTGATTTGGGGGGTGGTTTATGGCATTGTTTTACCCATAATAATTAACAAAAATAAGCACGAAACATATTCATGCCACTTAAACATCATTAAACAACTATATATATATATTCTCGAAAACAATTTTGATGCTGCTATATGCTGCTTAAACCTCATACATTGATAATTCAACCATTATTCATTATTCGGGCTGAATCATAACAACTCACCAAACAGAACAGAACCGACGCAAAAAATCGGGCAATTTGGGATGATTCTCATGATTCCCCAAATCCCAAGCATCATTCCAGCGACTCACGTTGTGAGGTCATTGTAATTCATCCAGATATTGAGGTGGTAAAGAAACCATAAGAAACTGGTTGGTTAGTCAGTTGGGAATATATTATTCCCAATATATGGAAAAATAAAACATGTTCCAAACCAACAACCAGGTATACATTTGCTAGTACCACTTTGATCTCATCGTTTTGTTTCTTCCTTGTCGTGTTCGAAGCTTTCCGCATTCAAGCAAACCTTGAGAGACTAACGCACATACGGCAAGAAAGAAATCATGCTTAATGACTGTTTTGCTACATTTTTTTCGCTCAGCTTTCTAAACATCTCTTTATAACTTCTTGGGGTCTCCCTCGTTGGGGTCAACCTCCATGGCTTGTCAATGGGCCTTGCTGTTCAAAGCAGGTCTTCGGGCAATGCAAATCATATGACTTAACATATACCGTGGGCTGTTGTTTTACAGTGAATGGGCCATATCCAGTACGAAAGGATACCTGCTTAGCTAAATCTAAATGACGGAGGTTTTTCTTGGTAAAATCTCCATTTTTGTTGGTTCAATCGTGAGGCATCCAAACATGAACGAGACTTCAAGGCCGGTGCATAGTCCAAGCACTGCAAGGTGCTCAGCAGCACATCCATCGGAACCTGCAGCGAATCTGGTTTTTTTTCTCACCCTAAAAACGATAAACCAATGACTTACCAACAAAATCTGACTACACCGTGGTTATTGGTGACTTGGTGACTTTTTAGTCATATTTCGTGGCTTTTGATGGCAAAATCAATGATAATTGGTGATTAAGAATGATTAATTTAGTGAATTCATGTGGTAAACCCAAGAATAAACCATCCCCAATATCATCATAAATAGCTGATATTCACGATCCCCAAATGGTAGGTTTATTCTTGGGTTGCCCACTTTGGTCAAATGTTGCTTGTCCATCTTGTCCTTTTTTCTTGGGAGGTTGTATGTAGTTGAATGATGTTGACTGTAATTATTGATATTCTATAACTGATTCCATTTTTTCCACTCCTAGTTGATAATATATGTAATATGATTCTTTAGCACTGACAACAATTAATTAGATCTCATGTATCTCCGTGAGAATCACATCATTGTATTTGCAGTTTTTTGATTGAAATCACTTTTTCACGAAATCCGTTTTACATAAATTGGATTCAAAATATGGAAAACCAACAGCAGTTTGGTATGCAGCGGATACGATATTTTGAGCTTTAAGATTCAGAACTACCCGGGGGAAGATCCACCATTTTATAGCTGGGTAAATCCACATAAATCCACTATAAATGGCCATGTTCAATAGCTATTTTATATTATTTTATGCTATTTTGACATAACCAGAGGATAAAAATGACTGGTTAACATACAAAACCAACTACAGAACAGTTGTTAGCGGCGGTCGGGGTCCAATGGCCAGGACTCAGGTACCTTTTCCTATCAAAAAAGGCCTATTAGTAATATGGTTGGTGGTTGACCTACCCCTCTGAAAAATATGAGTTCGTCAGTTGGGATGACATTCCCAACTGAATGGAACAATGAAATTCATGTTCCAAAGCACCAACCAGGTACTATCACAAAAGGCCTATTAGTAAGGTTGTTTTTTAGGGAAACAAATAAAACAAACATCAGTGCCCTATTTTTCCATGCCGGGCCTCCATTTCAGGGGGAAATTCCCAGTGAGATGTGTGAATCATCGGTCCTCCAACCATCTGAGGAACCCCGCAGATGACAGACCTGAGTGCCCGAAACATTTTCGGAGACTGAAGCTGTGAAAAGCATGGAGCTTTTGCCGAAAAACTTTTTGTTGTTTGTATTTTTGCGTATATGGACTGCCAGGTAGTTACTCTCTGGTTATTTGACATAGATATGGAAAACGGCCGGTTTATAGACGGTTTATGATGACAATTGATGGATCACTTACCTATTAAATGGTGATTCTCCATGGCTATGTTAAACAACCAGAGGGTGGAGGCATGGGAAATCTTCCGGACACTGTTTTTCGCGGGTGGACTATGCCGGCTTTTTAGCCTGTGAGTTGTTCATATAGTGGATTAAAGATCTCCTGCGTCACCTTGGATGGTTGAAACCCTATAAATCATGGGGTAAACCACCTATCAGGACCTATCAACTGGTGCAGGATTTCTTCCATCCACCGTATGATACTTTACTTCAAAGTGTGTGCTCCTTTTGGATCCCTTTGGTAGCAAAGTGCAAGCTGAGAATTGGATATCCCTGCACCACTCTACCTGGTTGGTGGTTTCAACCCCTCTAAAAAAAATATTAGTCAATGGGAAGGATTATTCCCAATATATGGAAAAATAAAACATGTTCCAAACCACCAACCAGGTACTATTTGAATAAAATCATTCTTCCACGAACAAATGAGAATGATGAAGATCATCACGTCTATATGGATTTCTTTCAAAGAGGATACCTCCACCCACAAACCAGCAGCTGATGTCTTTGTCTCCCTGCTTTGCGCAGGCCAGGTGGGTTTGTCTGAAATTTATTCTGAAGCGCCCATCAAAACATAGCAGGGCCTTGATACAATGGTTTACCCCCATTTTCAAACATTCTCATATGATGGGTTTTGTCTGAAAACAAACTAGTTACCCAACATGTTGATAAGCTGTGATGTTTTATCACATATATACCCTCCAGTAAATTAACATAGACCCTGGCATTCATCGGGGTTGGAAGATTAGTTTCCTCTAAAAAATGGTGATTTTCAGGGTCCACATTTACCAGAGGGTACCAGTTATGTTTGTTGGTTTATAAGCCCCAGTAACTATAGTTATAAGTACAATAAACCATAGTTATTGGAGTTATAAACCAACTTAGCTATCTTGGGGGCCTCACATTGTAGTTTCATCTTCCCCATTGTTTGTCGTACATTCGGAGTAAATTCGCCATTTTCAGACACACCGCAGCTGCGCGGTTCTGCACTACTCTTCAAGCGATCTCAGCGACAGCACGTGGTTCTCCTCGAGGTGACGAAGGTTAACTTTCTTCCACCTTTAAGACATCCAACAAATATAGTAACGTGGGTAAAACATGGTAAAACAATGCCATAAACCACCCATTTAAGCATGGTATATACCACCTAAAAAAATGGTGATTAGTAACCCACGGAAACAAAGGACGAACAAACACATTTATATAATATATATATATATATTATATTATATATTATATATTATATATATCTATCTATAACTTCATGGAATCTTGCAACGTTGTATAACTTTTGGGGGGGACGTGCGAAAGAGATTCCCCTCTTGGAGGATCATCATCACCATGATATTAAACAAACGTCAATCAAATCACCATTTCTAGAAGAACTTCTCATGGTTCCCCCATGATTTTCATCAGTTTTTCCATGGATTTTCCCTGTTTCCGACGTGTTTTTTCCATGGATTTTTCCAGAAATTTCCACGTTGTTTCTATGGTTTTCCGCCTGGTTTTCCACCACGCCGGTTTTCCGCCACACCGACCCAGGTTTCACCTGCTCCCAGGTTTCCACCGCGCCAGGGCGTGTTTCTCGAACCCACCTTGGACGTCACGAGGTCTAAGTCATTTCGTCATAGAACTGATACTGGTTGGTGGGGAGATTTTCCATGGCTATGTTAGTTAATGATGGTTAATATATGGTGAATATATGGTGAATATATGGTTAATATATGGTGAATATATGGTGAATACATGGTTATTATATGGTGAATATATGGTGAATATATGGTGAATATATGGTAAATACATGGTGAATATATGGTGAATATATGGTGAATACATGGTTATTATATGGTGAATACATGGTTAATATATGGTTAATGATGGTTAATATACTGTTAATAATGGTTAATATATATGGTTGATATACTGTTAATATATGGTTATTATTATATGGTTAATGATGGTTAATAAAAATCTGGTTGGTGGTTTTAACCATCTTGAAAAATATGAGTCAATGGGAAGGATGACATCCCATATATGACATGGAGAATAAAAAATCTTTGAAACCACCAACCAGTGATAAGCAACTGGAAATAACTGGACATCACTTGGAATGACTTATAGTTATTTCAAGTTACTTTAAGAAAGTTATGATATGTTATGATTCTAATAACTTGATTTTCAACTTACGTTTCAAGTTACTTATTTCAATTACTTGTGCAGTTCTTATTCCAAGTTCGCGTGCACGTCATTGTTATTCTAACTGATGGTGAGTCATCATAAGTCATGACCATCCGCAGAAGTTGGATCCTGTCCCTATGAAACCTCCACAGCGGTCCTACACGTCACGTTGATGCATCCAACAGGAAATTTAACAGGTTGATGCTCTGAACACGTCTCAATGCTAAACAAAATCATCAGTGACATTGAAATCACATATGAAGTACTTTTTACTGGCAAAACAATCATAAACCATCCACAAATTCACCATAGAAAGTTTCAACCATTCCCTCTGTGGTTTATGGCAATGGCGAGCCCAGGGTGGCGACGTGTCATGCGATTGGGAGGCTTTGAAGTGGGAAGAAAGGAGCATGTCATAGTCATCTAATGTCATCATAAATAATCATAAATAATCATAAATCATCATAAATCATCAGAATTAATAAAGCATCATAAACTATCAAAATGTCATCATATATAATGTCAATTAATATCATCATAAATCTATATTAGAAAATGGATGCACATAGCATTTACCGCTGATTTTCCTGATAAAAACCGAGGGCGCCGAGGCCACCGAGGCGCAGCAACGCCTTCTCCGGCGAGCACACGCCTAGCTCCACCAACAGGCGGCACGACACCGTACCTCGCCGAGGTTCCGTTAAAGGACGGGAACTTCCCATCGAGTCCATCGAGAAGAACATGGGAAATAGCCTCTGGTAATGGGATTTAATGGGATTTTATAGTGATTTAATGGGATTTTATAGTGATTTAATGGGAGTTTATAGTGATTTAATGGGATTTTAATGGGAGTAAAACACAAACTACAGTAACTTGATGTAACGTGTGACACAGTAAAATCAAAATCCTTGTAAATTGATGCAATCTGCGATGCTGAGACGAACAGTTCGACAGTTCAGTTCAACGGCGAGTTGTCGGACATGCTCAAGGGATTGCTGCAGTGTCCGAGGAAAAGAATATGCATCAATTTGTCCCAGGTGATTAGTTACTGTTGGAACTGTGCTACATTGTTGGATAGTTGTTGGATAGTTTCATGTTCTAGTTCCGCATGTTGGAGCTGGAAAAAATGATCACACTCCCCCTCTAGTACTCATCAACCGCGGTCTGCTGGAAATCCTCCATTTATAATTATATAATCATTTATATGCTGGTTGGTGGTGTACCTACCCCTCTGAAAAATATTAGTCAGTTGGGATGATGACATTCCCAATATATGAAAAAAACATGTTCCAAACCACCAACCAGTATCGGATTCTCCCAGCCAATGGGGATTTCCTGGCTTGCCATGTTTGATCATCAGAGGGTAACCCCAAAAAAAAAACGTCGCCAAGGCCCTCTGCTGCCGGGGACTTGACTTGCGGAGCTTCTGTCATGGACTCAAGGTGGCATGGTTAACTCTCACCTTCTGACCTATATTTAGGTCTATGATAAGGCCTATTTAAGGGAATCGCCCCAGAAGATATGGTCCTTTTTTCTGGTACAGTAAACTAACATAGCTATGGAACGTTGCCCATTTATAGATGCTTTGCTAGTAGCTTTTAAAATGGTGATGTTCAATAGCTACACAGGCTACACATATATATATATATACTGGTTGGTGGTTTCAACCCTCTGAAAAATATTAGTCAGTTGGGATGATTATTCCCAACTGAATGGAAAAATAAAAGCCATGTTCCAAACCACCAAGCAGTTTCTAATAGGTAAAATCCCATTAGTTCCTATGGAAAGTCACCATCTTTAATAGGTAAATCAACTATTAACTATTTCTACCAGAGGCAAAATCGCCCGTCTCTCCGGCCTGCGCGTCCAATGCCGCCGCGGCAGTGCACGACAACCTGCCGCGACATCTCCGGGATGGGGATGTATCCAAGAAAAATGAGGATAGACTATAGAAATCCAGAGAAAACCACAGGAAATATGGTGGTTTAAGATATTTAAGAAACGAAATTTAATGCGATGTATAGCTGACTGTGCCCAACAACAATCAGGATACTGTTTGGCCAACCAAATATCACCCCAAACAGGGGTAAAAGGTATTAGAATCATGGGGCTCGGCTAAACACAATTTTTATGGGTACAAATGGAGGGTATAGGTATTGTATATTTAATAACTCTAACAACTCTGGTTGGTTTATGGGATACAACGTTAGTTCGTGGGGTGTTATAAACCAACGAACACAAGTGGGGGGGGCCCACCTTGATTTTTCCAAAGAATCTTTGGGTTTTATGTGTGAGACCCTAAACAAAGCCACAAATCAGCGTTCGATGAACATGTGTCCAAAAGCGGAGGAGATAAACACAACCACATTTTCCAAAAATGTTTCCATTGCCGTTTCTCTGGAAATTCAAAAACCATCTTCCATGCGAGGTATGCGGCTGCTAAGTTGGCTTTCGCTGTTGGGTTTATGGTAGATAGGAAGAACTAGTTCATGACTTGATTGGGTGAACATCATCCACATAACATTAACATCAAGCAAAAACACATCATCTTCCCTGGGCCCTGGACATCCCTATGGTTTTCTTTGTTGGGCGTCGCCTTGGATTTGCTTCACCCTTTGTCGATTCCAAGTAGTGGATGTCCCATTGGGAAAATAAAAAACAAAAACATCATCCACTCGGCAACTCCAGGCTTTTGGGGGGTTGAACCCTCTTGATTTCCTGGTTGGTGGTATACCTACCTACCCCTCTGAAAAATCATGGAGTGAAAGTCAGTTGGGATGATGACATTCCCAACTGAATGAAAAAATAAAAACCATGTTCCAAACTACCAACCAGTTTCATTGCCTTTTCCAGTGAACTAAGTGTACATGTTTCGCCATTGCCAACTTATGCAGCTTTAAATTGCCATTGTATTCTGCGAAAGAAAACCTAAACTATCTCAACCGCACACCCCCAGTTCAACAATTCAGGCCCTTTACCAATTATAAGTCGGAAATAACCCCAACTTATGATATTCATGGAATAATTAAGAACCATCTATAACCTTGTCAGGTATAAAACGATATTATAACCGAATTCATGGAATGAGAACCTCATATTATAACCATATTTTAACCATATGATAACCATATTATAACCATATTCTAACCATATTCATGGACTGATAAACCCCATTTATAACCATATTATAACCATACTATAACCATATCATAACCATATAATAACCATATTATAACCATATTATAACCATATTATAACCATATTATAACCATATTCATGGACTGATAAACACCATTTATAACCATATCATAACCATACTATAACCATATTACAACCATATTATAACCATATTATAACCATATTCATGGACTGATGAACCCCATTTATAACCATATCATAACCATATTATAACCATATTAAAAACCATATTATAACCATATCTTAACCATATTCATGGACTGATAAACACCATTTATAACCATATTATAATCATATTATGACCATATTATAACCAAATTAAAACCATATTAAAACCATATTATAACCATATTCATGGACTGATATACACCATTTATAACCATATCATAACCATACTATAACCATATCATAACCATATTATAACCATATTCTAACCATATTATAACCATATTACAACCATATGATAACCATATTATAACCATATGATAACCATATTAAAACCATATTATAACCATATTCATGGACTGATAAACCCCATATTATAACCATATCATAACCATACTATAACCATATTATAACCATATTATAAACATTTCATATTCATATCATAACCATATTATAACCATATTCATGGACTGATGAACCCCATGTATAACCATATTATAACCATATTATAACCATAGTATAACCAAATTATAACCATATTATAACCATATTCATGGACTGATAAACCCCATTTATAACCATATTATAACCATATTATAACCATATCATAACCATATTATAACCATATTATAACCATATCCATGGACTGATAAACCCCATTTATAACCATATTATAGTCATATTATAACCATTTTATAACCATATCATAACCATATTATAACCGTATTCATGGACTGATAAACCCCATATTATAACCATATTATAACCATATTATAACCATATCATAACCATATTAAAACCATATTATAACCATATTATAACCATATTATAACCATATTCATGGACTGATAAACACCATTTATAACCATATCATAACCATACTATAACCATATCATAACCATATTATAACCATATTACAACCATATTATAACCATATTCTAACCATATTATAACCATATTACAACCATATGATAACCATATTATAACCATATCATAACCTTATTATAACCATATTAAAGCCATATTAAAACCATATTATAACCATACCATATCATAACCATATTATAACCATATTATAACCATATTATAACCATATTAAAACCATATTAACACCATATTATAACCATATTATAACCATATTAAAACCATATTAAAACCATATTATAACCATATTATACCATATTCATGGACTGATAAACTGCATTTATAACCAAATTGTAACCATATCATAACCATATCATAACCATATAATAACCATATTAGAACCATATTCATGGACTGATAAACACCATTTATAACCATATCATAACCATATCATAACCATATTATAACCATATTATAACCATATTATAACCATATTAAAACCATATTAAAACCATATTAAAACCATATTATAACCATATTATAACCATATTATAACCATATTATAACCATATCATTGCTATTTCGGGCCGTCAAATTCCTGCAGTTCTCCAAGCGTTCCAACCTTTCCGCCGCGCTTCAAGATCTCCCGCACTTTGGCGCCATCGCCGCGTTGGACCCAAGCACCTTTTTTTCGTGACGGGAAAACCATGCAGTTATGGCCATTTATCAGTTATAAATACTTACCAAAATTCTGGGTAAATTATAATATTTCACTAACCTGAATTAAGGCCATTTGGGGATCATTTCCCTTGCTAACCATGATTCCAGTGAGGTCGCAGTAAGGTCGTTATAATTTACTCAAATACATGTATAGAAAATATAGTATATTAAACTGGTAAATGGCCGTAACTGTAGGTCGTTGGGAAGAAATGCCTTCTGGTAATTATAGCTATTGAACATGAACATGGCTAGAAAGACCCCATAGAAATAGTTGATTTACCGAACTTAAAGATTACAGTATGTGACTTTTACCAAACTTAAAGATTATGTGATTTTTACACAACTTAAAGATTGTGTGATTTTCCATAGCTATGTTGGTTTATCAGAGGGTACTTGGAAACCATGGGTTTATGGCAAAACTCCGTGGAAAACATTGCTTTTTGGAACAGAAAGAGTTTTTGGAAGCCACAAGCAGCTCGATGACGGGCCGGTGGTGTTGCCGCAGCGACTGAGAACTGATTCAACGGACATCATGGTTGCATTTGTCTGCTGCCAACATGGCCGGATTCATGGCCATCGACGCCATCGATGTGGAATCAGTGTCAAAAGCCGAGTCTGCAGTAGCCGAGTAGCCGAGTTTGCCCTTGTGGCATGTCAGTGGGCGGCAGGAATGCAGCATACATCGGGGCCATCAGGGTTTCTGGCAGTCCGTAGCAGCACCTGAAAATACGAGCTCTTTCAGGAAAGGACAAGCCATTAGTCATGGCCAGGCTTGGATAGTCCACACATAGAATCAACCTGGAGATTGTCCTCCTAAAATCATACCAACATTGATGATGCGCCAAGCCTCACTAAGCCACAACATTTACCAGGGATAGCCCAGATCCATTTATCAAACCTGACTTCAGCATTTTTAAGTTCAATTGTTGCGCATCACAAGTGCAACTGGGATCATCCAATCTTGAAGGTTCCACAAATTGACCGTTTGGCTTATAGACCAATCCCCCATATTCACCCGTATCTCCAATAGTCATCCAACAATCGTTGTTTGTAAATGTACATCTATTGCTAATTATATATATATATTTTTATGTAAAGATATGTACATTTGCAAACAACTAGTATAGACTTAGACCAATTAACACCATATATATACATACATATTACATGTGTATATATAATATATATATATATATTACTTTGATTTCAAGGTTTCCGCGAAGCGGTCTTTTTCCAACCGCTTGAGCCAAAGTAATGGCGAGTCAGTTGAATTACATACTGTGCTATGCACACTGTGCTGAGGGTGTCTAGATTCAAACAACTCCCCGTGGCTTGCATGTCATGGCGGAAGCAACAGGGCAGCAAAGCTCGCCACCAAGTGCAACCCCCCCGGCCAGGGTTGCGTATGTTGGCCAAGTTCGATGTAGAAGCCATTGACATTGGAAGCCATCTTATACTCATCGCATGTACTGCAGACTGAGTATTGCACTGTACGATCTAACTTAGGTGCAAGCCGCCTCAAAGGCAAGGTCAAGCACAAGGTCTTGAAGAAACATGAAGAAACTAATTAAAGTCTGTACTACTGGAATTCCAAGTGAAACCACTTTACAGTATCACCAAGCCGCTTCGAGGCACAGGTCAGGATATAGCGCAGTGAAAGGTGCCAAGAACAAAGTAAAGTGCCACCACCAACCTCCTAAGTCCCACGCCGCATCACATGCAGGCCGTTGGGCCCTGTTGAAGAACAGTGGACTCAAAAGGTCGTTTCTGGGGACCTGACCAAGCTAAGTTGCCAACAAGACCAAGACACATTCGAAATCAACAGGATGTGAGGAATGTTTCATGGCTTGGCCTGATATTCCAAACCTACCACTGAGACATCGAATTTTCCTGGCAGAAGCGCTTTGGTGAAGTAATCTCCTAATTGTTCAGCAGTCGGGGTTTGAATGAGTTTGCACCATGAAGAAAAAGCTTCATTCAAAGAGGCTAAAGATAGTTTTGGAGTTCGCGCAAGGTGTCTCAGTTTCACGCTGTAACCTTTCTTTATGGATTGAACCACTGCGCTATTGTCTTCACGGACAACTGGCTTAGGAGCTTTGTCACCCAGAAGATAAACCACAAGTTTATGAATCGGCAATAGTTCCTCCTGGAGCCCTTCAGCCAATGAGCTCAACTCTGCATCAGCTGTACTTCTCGCAACATGTTGACGACGACGGGACTTCCATGTGATGGGACAAAATGTACCCCCAACCCCCCGGATTACAAGGTATAAGCCACTAGTCGACTTTGCTGTAAATGGGCATCCGCCTAAGTCGGCATCGAACAGGTCAATCGTGCAATTCTCTGGAGGGTCATGCACCTGTGAAACCAAGCCCATGTCACGAGTGGAATGAAGGTATGACACAAGTCGGTACAGCTGTTTATCTGAGTTACGCGACCATCGTGTGACTTGAGATTGCGTAGGCTAGGTCTGGTCGAGCCAATCTACACACCCACAAAAGCTTCATCAAGACCGAAGAGGCCTTGTGAGACACCTGGCCTTGGACTTCGAAATCTTGTTGGGTGAGCATATTCTCATTGACATATGGCGTTGAAACCTGCCTGAAGTTCGCCTTTCCCTCAACAACTTCAACATACAAGTCAATGGCTTGTTGACAGTAGTCAGCCATGTTGAAAGTACACTTGGGCCCTTGGATGACATGGTTTATCCCAATGAATTGATTCAATGGTTCGGGATCATCAAGCTCGATGTACTTACGAAGAGATGACCAAAAGGAATCATGGAATTGTTCTGGACCACTCAACAACACATCGTCAACATAAACAACAACTAACAGTTCGGTCTTAGCACATCTAAACACTGATGGATGTCCGTCTACAGGCGTGAGCCCCAAGTCTCCCACAAGAACCTGTCGCAAATGCATCTCCCGACATGCACTCGCAAGTGGGTGACCGTATAATGCCTTCTGGAGGCGAACTGTCGGTTGCTTAAACTTTCCATGCCAAGAATCCAACCACAGTTCCCGAGGCAAATCAACATAGGTCTCTTCGTCCACCATTAGCATAGCTTGCAGAAAAGCACGAGTGATCTGCAGCTGTGAGCTTGTTACCCTTGAGAAGCCCATAAAACACCGCCAGGTCTATGGCCTGGATTTTAGTCGGGGCACTGTATAACGCTCCGAACTGCGCTGCGGCGCCCCAAGTGTCAGTCACCTGGGTCCCTCTGAAGACCAGTCTCCCTTTGTATTTCCGGCGATCCATCGACTCCCAGTGTTTGATACTTGCGATTGGCATTACCTCTGCAAGATGGATTATTTTACCCTCGCGTTTTGCCTGCACAAGTCGTTCTGCTTTTTCCATTACGTTAGAATCCAGCCAAACATCTTTGGCCCTGACACCGCGACCTTCCTCCTTAATTGCCTCTATGGCCTTTGAGTCATTTCTCATCTCATCACGGGACCGCAATTTGTGAATGGTTGCCAAAACACAAACATCTGGAGTATGGCAGTCTTGGAGTCGGGCTCTATGTGGGTCAAGTCGGAATGGCATGACAGGACAAGCTGGGACTTGTTCTAAGATTCTGCCTGGAAAGAGAGTGGACACTAAACAAATAGCCATTGACATGTTGTAAAATCCTGACTTCTTCGTGATTGATCCTTCAAGGTGATAATGGAAACCCTTTTCATGACTGCATTTCTTCGATTCAAGTTCTTTCCGAAGTTTCTCATTGGTTGTTTGGACAATCCACTGGCGTTTTGGACATTTTCCATCAATCTCAAGATTAAAGGCACCATCAAACTGGACTGATTTCATTCCAAGAGAATCAACGCATGATTTGACAACTGGTTCTTGCCAACCCTCAGAATCTTTGCTCCATTCGAAGCTGGAAGAACCACCTCTCGACATCTCAACCGTGGCGGCCAATTCATGAAACCGTTCAACCAGTTTGAGAGACTTCTCTCGTCTTGCTAACAACTTCTTTTGATACTCTTCTCCATGATTGTGGATGGCCATGTGTTGCCAAGGGCTCCAGACCGTATAAGGCAAGGATCCCCATAAGTGGATTGGTCTATTTCCTTGTTGAATCTCATCTTGAACCCAACAAATCAGTTGGTGGAAGCTTTCATCATCCTCAACATTGAAAGATTCTTTCGTGATTCCCAAATACGATACGTCCAAAGCTTTTGCAACTTTACAAAGCGCCGAATTTTCCTGACAACAAAACTCAATTAATAACACGTTTCCCTTTCTCAGAGTAACACCCCCCGGAGCTGCAACCACAACCTCACCAAGCACCGTCTCGTCAAACCCAGATTCCGCCGAAGACTCTGAACGAGCAGGAGAAGGTGGGACGAAAGAAGCGTGTGACGTGGGAGTGTAATCACCATCAGGTTGAGGACATTCTGGGACTAAATCCAAATCCAATAGATCAACTGGCTCAACATCAACAGGGGTAACAGTCAAACAACCTGAACATATCATAAGCCTCGTCCTCGTGGTTGGTATCTGGGGTCAGCTCATCGTCCCCCCGCGGGAGCGGTTCTGCAGCATTCAGCAGGCGATTGAAGCGCTCACGACATGTAGAGGTGTGTTGGTATGTGCCATTGAGGCATCCGTCGCACAACTCGGTGGGACCATAAAATTGCACCCTTCGTTTGGTAACGGACCGATTCCTAGGGATATCAGGATTGTCATCATCACCAGGGGCATCATCATCATCATCATCATCATCAGGTGCGTCGGGTGCATCAGGAATGGCGTTGGGATTCTTCAACATAGAAACACGGGTCAAGGGAAATTGCCAGGGTCCTGTTGGTGGGACAAAGTCACGGGTGAGGATCTCTCGGATTTCTCCGCGAGAGGTCAACACTGAAAGATCCAAAAGAATGTGAACATCTTTGCAACCCATACCTGGAACCACTTCGGGGTCACCTAAGTATACATAGCCGCTTTGCCATTGGGAGAAAAGGATTTGGGGGCCATGGGATCCTTGATCTTACCCAAGTACCAAACGAAACACCCAGGCCCATACGGCAAGAGACGTGGTTCGGGCTGATAGCCAATGGCGAGGTGCAACTTGCTATCCACATCCGGGAGGGGAACCTCGTCCAAAGCCAACAACATTGGCAAAAAGGCATTGCGCCAAGCTCGAAAGCTTCCTGCCGAGTCCGGCAAAGCTGGCATCCTGATGGCAGAAACGTCCTTCCACCTCAGATAGTCCTCAGGGGATTTTACATCATCATCCGAATCACCTTGGTCATCACACTTGGGTGATGTTGCGCCCTTCCTTTTCGGTGATGCGTGTGGACTAACCAATTGGGTGTATACCGGTGATGGCATCGGAGGCATGTAGTCTCCTGGAACCAACTCCTCATCATCATCAAATTCTTCCAATGCATCTTCATAAGTGGGAATGGTTGGAACTTCCCAGTTCCCCAAAGCGACCATTCTATCTTCCAAATCCTTGGACTTCCTACTCAATTCTTCACCGGATCCTTGGATCTGGTTGAGTCGGTCAACAACAAATGACATTTGGGTTTGAAGATCTGATATCTGGGATTGCAATTCCGTACCATGTGTGGCTCTTTCCAATTTCAAACTGTTGGCCTCAACCTGAGCACGTGCCACCTCAGAGTGAGCGAGAGCATTCTTCAATCGACCAATTTCACCCAACAAGTTTGTCTCGCGTTTCTGGGCTTGTGACCGTTCATCCATGATTGTTTTCATTGCTTGTTTCTCTGTTTCGCTAATCATGATCGTTGCTTCGCTCCTCAATTGCGCGTTCGCAGCATCCCTTTGAACAACTGCTTCCACAGCATGTTGCGCGATCAAATCCGCTTGGGCTCTTGCTTGCATGACCTCTACAGCAGCTTGCCTAACAACTTCCGGGTTTGCAGAGGGTGCTACATACACTGCTTGCTGATACACGTGACTTTTAGGGCGTGTTGAACTTTGTGCTCCTTGTCGCTGCTCTGTTCTTGTGTTTCCCGTGTGTGGCCTATCAAGAGGCTTTGCCAAAGCTTCACTTGTTCTCATTGCGGAACCAGTCCTTGTCTTTGATTGTTTCCTCACATTTCCTCTTGATTTAACGCTCGAAGAACGGGAACTCATTCCTCCTTCGATCATTCCCGGTCCTGCTGGAACGTGATCTGATGAAGATGTGAACTGAAATGATGTTGAGTTGCTTGAATCCATTCACTCGATGTGTTCGTTTTCGTTTATCCAATTCAGCCGAGATTCAAAGAATCAAGATCTCTTGCCTCTGCCCTTACCCTTGCCTTTTCCCGAAGGCTGATACTCAGCAGGGTCAACTGGCAGCTGATAGAACGGTGTATGAAACGCTTGCGGAAATGTCAACTTAATCACCCGTTGAAAATATTCTTCGACTGACTGAACCGAAAGAAAATCTTTTGACGCATACCGAAAATGCACAAAATGAACTGGTACCACCCTACGTTCCCTAACAGTCTGGCAAATGTCCCAACGGTCGTCCAAGTGAGCTGAAACCACAGTTGATGTGATCTCTGGTTAATCTCGGGAAGTGATGCACAAAGTCACCAGACGATCCGGTGTTACAATCCCTTCGGCCAACAGCTCTTGATTCAACAGGTAAATCTGTTCGTTCAAACCAACACGACGTTCCTCTGATTGATCCCCACCATAACCTATGTAACTACACACACCAACGCGGATGCGCTGATCCCTCTGAAGTGCAGCTTTAATGGCTTGACGTGCAAAAGGATGTAATCTCCCTGAATGCTCTCGATCCCCTGGATTGCAAACGTTGCACGCTCCGTTCCAATCGACGCTCAACCTAATTTCGAGCCTTGGGCCTGTCGACGTTGCAACCGTGGAGACTGGAGGATTGTGTTTGGTCAAATCAATAATGGGAGCTGAAACCAAAGATGAACTTGCTGAGATTTCCTTGGGTGGAACCTTGGGGACTGAAATTTGTTGGGCGGAACCTTTGGAACAGAGATTTCCTTGGGCGGAACCTTTGGAACAGGAACCCTTTCAGATTCAACCACTGGACGCCCCTTTGGAAATGCTGGCGTGATCACTGGTTTCGCTACCTCAGGTTCAGCTATTCGCCAAGGAGCCTCTGCGATGGCCCTCTCAAGGATGGTTGATCTCTCCCGTTGACGTTCCCTTCGGAGCTGGGGCACCAAAAGCAACACTTGAAACCTTTGGTGGTGCAATCGGAACCGAAACCGTGGATACCGAAACACTGGATGATGCCTTAGGCGGTGTCCTAGGTGCAGGCAATGGCGGAAAATCCTTAGGAGGTGTCTTCGGGACAGGCACTGGAACAACCGGAATTGCACGAGATCCACTCGAAGCAGAACCAGAAGCCGATACCCTATCTCCTTCCTTGAAGTCCGGAAATTCTTCAGATTTATATAACATCCTCTGGATCACCACCTGATGCCTTAGCAGCCTGCTGCTTCGCAACAAAAGCTTCAGCTAGAAGCTGCTGCTTCTTTGCCCTTTTACCACCTCTAGTCGGTTTCCAACCCTCTTCAAACTTCTTAGGGCGTTTATCCCCAGATCCTCCACCTTCCATCCACCTGCCTGCCGCCTCGAAGGCTGGTCAGGCAACTATCGACACCAAGATACGGAAAAAGAGGAACCAAGATGCGAGGATGCAGAAATGCAGAACGAAAAGACAAAGATGACCAATGCAGTGAAGCTATGGCAACAGCGACGCTGGTGGGAGCGTACGGCTGATAACCTAGATTTCAAGGTTTCAGCGAAGCGGTCTTTTTCCAACCGCTTGAGCCAAAGTAGTGGCGAGTCAGTTGAATTACATACTGTGCTATGCATACTGTGCTGAGGGTGTCTAGATTCAAACAACTTATATATATATATAATATATATAATATATATAATATATATATATAATATATATAATATATATAATATATATATATATATTTACACCAGGTCATAGACCAATTCACCCATCCTTTGGAGCCAAGGATTATCCTTGAGATTTCACCCCGACGCTTAGCAAACGCTGAATCAACCCGGATAAAGCCCATCCATAAACCCTCCGTAGACCTATTGTTATATATTATTAGCAATCGTATTACTATGTATTACTTTTTACATCTTTTTATTATGATTTATTTTTACACATTTATACAGTAGTGGGATTTTTACCCATAAATCGGAAAAAAAACAACGCAACAAGAACGATATATCAAAATATCCCATCATTTACCCTCTGGTAATGTAACATTGAAAATTGCCAAAGAAATGGTTGATTTACCGAACGTAGACATGGTGATTTTCCAGTTCGCAAACTGTTAGTTTACCAGAGGGTACTAGCCATGGTTTCCTGGTTGGTGGTTGACCTACCCCTCTGAAAAATATTAGCCAGTTGGGCTTATTATTCCAATGAAAATAATGTTCCAGACCACCGATCAAATAGTTACTATAGTTCCGAAAATCACAATCTTTAATAGGTAAATCAACTATAAATGGCAATTTTCAATAGCTATGTTAGTTTACCAGAGGGTAATGGGTAAATTAACTATAAATGGCAATTTTCAATAGTTGATTTACCCATTAAAATTGTGTTTTTTCCATAATTGTCTTCGTTTACCAGAGGGTACTAGCCATGGTTTCTAATACATCACCAAGGAGGGTAAATATCATAAATACCACCAATCAGTTATGTCCCATCAAATCCCATTCAGATTCCCATGATTTCAGCTGGTGAGAAATCTAGCCATGCTCTCTAATACATCCCGCCCATTCTCCGTTGAATCCCCCAAACCCCCGAACCGAAATCCGGATCAATAGGGCCTTCGAAGTACATCCCTGGCGCAGCAAAGTCCTGGCGAGGCGGAGCACCAATGGACATCTCCAAGAAAAGAATGGGAAAATGATGGAAAAATGCTGGGAAAATGATGGACATTTATTGGAACATGCTGGGAAAATGATGGAGACACCATTTGAAAGGCTAGAATTCGAAGCATTGCTGTAGTGTTATTTTGCCCTCAAAGCTATCCAAAGAGAGTTCTATGGGCAAAGGGAAATGATCAAACATGTGCGTCAATTATGAAACAGTGGAAATTCTTTCGTTAAAGAACTAATGAAAAAATGAAAACAAAAAACAAGTAACTTTCGTGACCACACAAAATGGGGAGTGTAAAAGTGTGAATACTGGGTGTGGATCAAAAATGGGTGTGGTTGATTGTGACCTCACAAAAAAAGGGCTTATCAAACACATGGGGATGCAACCGTTAACGTTTAGTAACTGTGATTCTCCTATCCCAAATGCTCCATGTATGGAAAATTTACCTACATTTACCCCAAAAATGGCTCAAATGTAGGTAAATATTCCATACATGGAGCATCTGGGTATGCACAATTGGGGAGATAATATGATATACTGTAACTGGTGAAGTGTGGATTAGCCATGTGAAACCTGGATATAACCAACAAATATGTGTTTAGCAAGGGATCTGAATGGTTTATACTCCAGAACATGGTTGGCTATGGGTCAAGTGCTGGGATTTGAAGGATGACTCGAAGTTGCACATGGATACTGGTGATGGTGCGGATTGGATTTTCTTGAATTTTTCGACATCCTAATGTACATTTGTATCCTACAATGTGAGGCCCCCAAGATAGCTAAGTTGGTTTATAACTCCAATAACTATGGTTTATAGTGCTTATAACTATAGTTACTGGGGCTTATAAACCAACAAACATCACTGGGGGGCCTCACATTGTAGATGAGGTTCCTTTCAAAATCCCATAGCTGCTGGTCGATTCCGACGGCCGGTCCGGCACGGGACAATGAAACCACTGCATCTGCCGGGTTCGAACTTGCGCTCCCATGTCCTCGGGTTGTTTGATGGAAACTATGGGGAAGTTGCTGGTGGTTCAGCTTAGGACTACCGGGATGATCATTGGAGCAACTATATGGCGAAATGATTTGATTCAACATAATTAGACACATGTCACATCTTGTTGTGCATATATATATATGATTATATGTACAGTGTTTCACTTGTATATTGGTACATTGTTTCACTTTTCCCTCAAAAGTCTCCACCATCTTCAACGATGTTTGGTGCAAAAGCCCAAGGCTCTGCAACGTCCAGCATTTGGAGTTCATCATCCTGGCGCAGCCCAAAGGCTTGAAATGGGTAGCTATACATATACAAATACATTTAGAATAGATACATGTGCATATGCATCCTAATGTGATATAGAAAAAACATATATATATATATTGATAGATATCACACTATACTATAGCTAAATAAACAAACACATATATATATATATATATCAAAATATATCATATATATAATATACATATAGTTTGATATACTATGTTGTGCATGGTTCCTATAATCTTCTAAACCAGGGATGCTAACCCCCCCGTTAAATCCCATCATTAGATTTCCCACTGTAGATCTTAAAAGATATTGTGATATCCTATACTGTATATATTTACATATATCTACAATTTAATAGACAAATATGTTGTATTATCCAATATCTATAGATATATCTCTATACATATACCTTTGAATATATATATATCCTGTTTAGTTACTATAGTTCATGCACAAAAGTTACTATAGTTACTATCCATACATGGTTCTATACATATCGATGCATAGAATGGAAGATATGAATCTCAATGGATATGCATCCATCTATAGTTACCACAATCCGTATCTATATATAGATATATATCCATAAATAAAAAATAACAATAACTAATATACTAATAGATTGTATATAGAATAATATAGATATATGATGATATATATATATATACATATATATATATCTCTCTCTCTCATTTATAGTATTAATATATTATATAATCATAGTTCATGAACAATCTATCTATCGATCCCCCCAAGTCCTTCCGGTCCTGCACCAAGGTCACCACTGCCTCCGCGCCCCAGGTCTTCAGACTTTCCAAGTCGCTGCCCAGGTCGCGGTCGCGCTTCCCCGGACAGGGGCAGATGGCCTCAGCAACGACAACGGCCCCTCCGCGGCAACGAAAACGACGTGGAAAAGGGGAGATTTATGTATCTTATATGGATTTGCCAAGAGCTATATAGGTTTTGTAAAGATTTGTGATGGAATTTGTTATGGATTTACTTGGGCTTATTTATGTTGTTTTTTTTTGGATTTACGTAGATTGTTCACTATCTTTTAGGATTTGAGTTGTACTTGTCGATCAGATTTTGGAGGTTGCGACATATAAAAACGGTCAAACATTCCAAAGCGATACGTATTACATCTATATAAGATGTGCTAATTAAATGATGATGATGATGATGTTGATGATGATGATGATATCTGATGATCATCATGTATAATTAATCATGATACAAAGAGATCAAAAGAAGCATACCATTAACATTTGTAATTTACTAATTTACACATATAAAAATCTCACAAAACAACCAATGGGCACCTTAGCCAATGACATCACTCCCATGGCCTATTCAAGCAAGCACTGCTGTAAATAAAATCATTGCAGATGAGTTTTGTCTCTGAATAATCCCAACCCCCCTAAAATTCCTACCCTCTGGTAAACATAGAAAAAACATGGAAAATCACCATTTTCTAGCTGGGTAAATCCACTATTTCGACTGCGCCATTTTCAATAGCTATTTTGATATAACCAGAGGATAAATATCATAAATACCCTGTTTTTTCAAACCTTGAAGATTGGATCTTGGATCTCTGGAACAGTCGTCAAGGACTAGCGGCGATTTCTGCTCCCTTCAGCTCTGGGATGGTCAAAACATACCTTAGCCAAAGTGCGACGACATTGCAACATAGTAAATGGAGGAAATAATATATGTGATCTGTTTTTTGAAATATTTTTTACCAACTCATTATGTCCTCTGATTTGGATCTGGGCCAAGAATTGGCACCGGAGCCTAATCGGACGCCATGGGGATCAACACTTCAACTCAACCATCTGTGAAAGTAGGGTAGCCGAAAATCGTTGCTAATTTCAAAAAAATCAACCAATTGGGACCAAAATTAAAACATGTTCTATAAGGGTATGCTTATTGAGGTGAATGCGTTTATTCACTTTTATGGGCACGCATCAAAACCTACAAAAAAAAACGTTGGAGGGACGGATATCTGTCCAGAGTCATGGTTTCTCCCATGTTTGCCATCATATCTCACGAACAAAATTCAACTTTAGATTGGTATCCACCAAACAGTATCCATGCTTGGGATTGATATGAAGTAATCATCATGAATCCGATTCATATACCCACCAACTGCTATGTTTTTTATTGTTTTTTTGTTTATCTTTCAGAGCCCAAAGCAATTTGCGTCCGAAGTGAAGGTCAACAAACCCAGGTTTGCTTAGTCTAAAATTCGATGGAAAAGTCGATACGTCGAATTCATCTTCCAATGGTAAACATACAAAAAACTATGGCAAATCAGCATTTTTAATGGGTAAACCCACTATAAATCACCATTTTCAATAGCTATGTTATGTTTACCAATGGCTAAATTCTATTGTTCCTCTGCAATATTCAAAGATCATGTCTGGTTGGTGGTTGACCTACCCCTCTGAAAAATCATGGAGTTCGTCAGTTGGGATGATGACATTCCCAACTGAATGGAAAGTCATAAAATTGATGAGTTCATTGTTTAATAATTAAAACTATTTCCTGTAACAACACTCAAAATTTAGCATCAATTCATTCAATCCAATTATGGTCATCACTCGTATCATCATTATATGTTCCAAACCACCAAACAGATTTTGTTCCGATGCAGTTGACCGATGCAGTTCCGTGAGTTCCACTTTGTTGGGATCTTGGAAAGGTGTATGGTCCATGGAGCCCATGGCATCCCAACTATGAGAAACATACGTATAAATATATATATAAATATACATGGTCCAATACAACCATAAACAACTATATTACTATATGTTTAATCAATACAAAGTAAACATTAACACTAGGTTGAATATAAAAATCCGGCTTAAATCCTACCTTACTGGGATAGTTAGCGTGAAAGAAATCATCAACTGCACCTGCATGGTTGGTCAATTAGCCACACTACATCCCCATTTAATCAACACAAAGGCCATTGGGCATACACAGCCAATATGTACTACTGGTATGTGAACATATACATGTGTGGTTAATCCACATTAATCCCCTACTTTTTTCATTAACTAACCGCAATACAGATTTTTGGCGGATTTAACATATTGATGATACATTAATTATATATGAATTATTATTAATTCCACAATGGATACTTATTGATCATATTAATCCCATTAATCCCATTCATAATGATCTAATCATATACAAATTGATCCATATTGATAAATATTGACCCATATATTCTACAAAAAAAAAACCCATGCATTGACATACACATACAAATTATTGATCCCATAATTTGTATATTATTAGATATTTTTGATCATATTAACCCCATTAACCCCATTCATAATGATCTAATCATATACAAATTGATCCATATTGATAAATATTGACCCATATATTCCACAAAAAAAAATACCCATGCATTGGCATACACATACAAATTATTGATCCCATAATTTGTATATTATTAGATATTTTTGATCATATTAACCCCATTAATCCCATTCATAATGATCTAATCATATACAAATTGATCCATATTGATAAATATTGACCCATATACAGTATTCCACAAAAAAAATCCATGCATTGACAAACACATACAAATTATTGATCCCATAATTTGTATATTATTAGATATTTTTGATCATATTAGTCCCATTAATCCCATTCATAATGATCTAATCATATACAAATTGATCCATATTGATAAATATTGACCCATATACAGTATTCCACAAAAAAAATCCATGCATTGACAAACACATACAAATTATTGATCCCATAATTTGTATATTATTAGATATTTTTGATCATATTAATCCCATTAATCCCATTCATAATGATCTAATCATATACAAATTGATCCATATTGATAAATATTGACCCATATACAGTATTCCACAAAAAAAAATCATGCATTGCCAAACACATACAAATTATTGATCCCATAATTTGTATATTGTTAGATATTTTTGATCATATTACTGAAATCCCATTAATCCCATTAATAATGACCTAATCATATACAAATTGATCCATATTGATAAAGATTGATCCATATACAGTATTATGCCTATGCATTGACAAACACATACAAATTATTGATCCCATAGTTTGTAAATTATTAGATATTTTTGATCATATTAATCCCATTAATCCCATTCATAATGACCTAATCATATACAAATTGATCCATATTGATAAATATTGACCCATATATTCTACAAAAAAAAAAGCCCATGCATTGACATACACATACAAATTATTGATCCCATAATTTGTATATTATTAGATATTTTTGATCATATTAACCCCATTAACCCCATTCATAATGATCTAATCATATACAAATTGATCCATATATATAAATATTGACCCATATATTCCACAAACAAATCTCCATGCATTGACAACCACATACAAAATAATGATCATATTCCATATTGATCCAAATTGATCATATTAATCCCATTAATCCCATTCATAATGATCTAATCATATACAAATTGATCCATATTGGTAAATATTGACCCATATATTCCACAAAAAAAACATCCATGCATTGCCAAACACATACAAATTATTGATCCCATAATTTGTATATTGTTAGATATTTTTGATCATATTTCTGAAATCCCATTAATCCCATTAATAATGACCTAATCATATACAAATTGATCCATATTGATAAAGATTGATCCATATACAGTATTATGCCTATGCATTGACAAACACATACAAATTATTGATCCCATAATTTGTATATTATTAGATATTTTTGATCATATTAACCCCATTAATCCCATTCATAATGATCTAATCATATACAAATTGATCCATATTGATAAATATTGACCCATATACAGTATTCCACAAAAAAAATCCATGCATTGACAAACACATACAAATTATTGATCCCATAATTTGTATATTATTAGATATTTTTGATCATATTAACCCCATTAATCCCAATCATAATGATCTAATCATATACAGATTGATCCATATATATATAAATATTGACCCATATATTCCACAAAAAAATCTCCATGCATTGACAAACACAAACAAAATAATGATCATATCCCATATGGATCCATATTGATCATATTAATCCCATTAATCCCATTCACAATGATCTAATCATATACAAATTGATCCATATTGATAGATATTGACCCATATATTCCACAAAAATCTCCATGCATTGACAAACACAAACAAAATAATGATCATATCCCATATGGATCCATATTGATCATATCAATCCCTTTAATCCCATTCATACTGATCTAAGCATATACAAATTATTGATCCCATGGCTGGTGACCATCTTTCGCATCCAGGCCACATCTCCATCTTTCGCTGCTGAAAATGCCCTCTCTTCGCCGCCAGCGAGGAGAAATGTGACCGGCCACAGCTGTGACCTTGGATACCCTCGGATAACTAGGGAAAATTAGGAATGGAAAATAGATAACTAGGGAAAATAGATATCTTACCTAGGAATTAGGAATGGAATTATCTATATGCTAAATATATTCCTTCGGAAAACACATCATTTTATGGAAAATGCTGAAAATTATGGGGTGTTATGAAAAATATCCCATGAATTCCATGGGGAAAAATTGTCCATTAAAATACATGTTGAGCAACCATTTCTGGTTGGTGGTTGACCTACCCCTCTGAAAAATATGAATTCGTCAGTTGGGGCTACTATTCCCAACTGAATGGAAGGTCATAAAATTCCATGGTTCCAAACCACCAACCAGATTTCTGTTGGATTTTCCATGTCTTCCATTCATTTTTTGTCTGTTAGAACCTGACATATCTCTATCGAGCTCAGCTTTTTGGGATGAATAGCTACTGAAACATCGAAATGGAAATCCTCGATAGAAATGGAGGTCTTAATGGGAAATAATAATGATTAACTTGGATTCATAGTGATTAATAGTGATTAATACTGGCTAATAGTGATTAAGATTGATTAATGGTGATTGATAGTGAAATGCCAGGAACATATCTTTAAATGGGATATCATCCGGCTCTATAAATGATTAATCTTGATGTTTCCCAGGAAAACCACCATTATTACAGATGACATTCCATAAAACAAAAAAATCAAATCCATTTTGTTCTGGGATTTCACAGCTTGCCGTGTTGGATGACACGGCAAGGGATGACTTGTTGCCTGAAAAATGATGATTTTTCGAGGCGATGCGTGGCGATTCTCACCTTCAATGCTGGTGAAATCACAGCAGAATCTACAGTTATGGTCATTTATCAGTTATAAGCTATTTCAAACTTTAGCCTCTTAACCTGTGGGCCTTGTGGACCATGGAGGGAACTATGGAAGGGACTATGGAAGAAACCAGGGCAATAAGGATATCTTATAGAAGGTGATGTTAGAAACCATGTCAAGGGAAAATTAGCAAGCTTTTGAAGAAGTAAAGTAACAAAACAATGCACACAGCGAGGACACATCCAGATTCATCAATCTGGAGGTGCACTAAAAGTCGTGAAGTACTTGACCTAAATTGAATTTGTATTGTGGACCAGTGATGAATTCAGTTTTGCTAATAACAAAAACTTGCCATGGATACTTTATACCTATCTGATCCACAGTCTATAGAAATAAAATTCTGATTGTGAGATTGGGGTGAACTTATGTTTCGGTCTTTCTTTTGAAGACTAAATCTACTTAGGTAATCTTAGGTGCAAATAAAATTCTACTTAGGCGTCACAAACTGACGCCTAAGTAGAATTCTATTTGCGCCAGATAGATTATGCATTCCAAATTCTAGTCTGGGGCTGTTGGAAGACAAAAATCATAATCTACTTGGGCGCAAAAAGAATTCTGCTTAGGCGTCACGAACTGACGCCTAAGTAGAATTCTTTTACTATTTGTGCCTTATTAGACCATGTCTTCCAAATTCTAGCCTGGGGCTGTTGGAAGACATTATTCATAGTCAAAATCTACTTAGGCGCAAATAGAATTCTAGTCTGGGGCTGTTGGAAGACATAATTCATAATCCACTTTGGCGCAAAAAGAATTCTGCTTAGGCGTCACGAACTGACAACTAAGTAGAATTCTATTACTATTTGCGCCTTATTAGACCATGCCTTCCAAATTCTAGTCTGGGGCTGTTGGAAGACATAATTTATATTCATAATCTACTCATGCGCAAATAGAAATCTAGCCTGGGGCTGTTGGAAAACATAATCCATGATCTACTTAGGCGCAAATAGAATTTTGCTTGGGCGTCACAAGCTGACGCCTAAGTAGAATTCTATGTGCGCTTAAGTAAATTATGCATTCCAAATTCTAGTCTGGGGCTGGCATTTGGGTGAAAATATGGTTTGCTTTCCCTTCAAGATGGGAGACATACTCAGGCGACAGAAACAAACGCCGAAGTGGAATTCTATTTGCAGCTAATTAATTTTCTAGTGTGAGACTGGGCTAAATTCAGCTTTGATTACTTAACAACCTTGCCCCAAATACTTGAAACCTTGAAGAAATACACAACCCGCATACAGATAGTGGGTTTAATTTATGATGCTGCATTTGTTTGAGGGAAGATTCAGGCGGTTTAAGCGCAATTGGAGAAATACTTAGGTGGAAGGAACAGGCGCTGAAGTCGAATTCTATCATTATGTAATTTCAATTATTTGGAAGGCAGTCCATGTGTGTTTGGGCGCGCTGAGCTGGCTTCTGCAATGTGTTCAGGCTGTTGGGATTATGTGACTTCCCTTTTCAAAAAAAGAACAAAGGCAATGCTGGTTGTTGGCTGCATTCCCATTGCTGTCTTTTTCCCCACCAGTTCTGGAATGGATCAAAAATATGCAGTAGCGGCAGCAGTGCAACATCCAGGCTATATTGTTGGTATTTTGTCACTCTGGCAAGACTGTTGCTACTACCGTGCTACTACCCATACAAGAAACAAACTATATTGCATATAGCTGCCGATAATTTCTTGGACCATGATTTGATACTTTTCAGAATATATATATATAGCGCTAGCGGTGGGGTTCTTGAGGGTGATGATGGGTTACTTTCAGGTTGGGACTAATGCATCCGGAATGGCTCAACCTTGTCCGTGCCTTCCTGTTCCGGGATTCTTGGCACAGAGAACCAATTTACGTGACAATTTTCTTAGCGCAGAGGTCTCCAGAACGGTTCGGAACGGTTCTGCAGACCTCCAGAACGGTTCGGAACGGTTCTGCAGACCTCAACTTTGCACGGAAATATGTCTCCACAGCTTCCAAACCCCCCCAAAAAACGGTCAAGAGCAGTTCCTCCTGTTTCGCATTTTCAAAACCTTCCAAAGAGCCGCCCTGTGGCTCCAAGGGCCAAGGCCACAAGAGAAAGGAATCAGAAAAACGACAAAGGGAAGGCAACTTCTCCGCCTAAGTCTTTGAACAGGCAGTGCAAAGGCATGCTGAGCACAAGGGAGAAGGTGAAACTGGATGTAGACTACAAAAGGCTGGAAGTTTCTCAGCTGTTTGTTCATGGAAGGCGTGGCCCCTTTCAAAATCTTACCTGTCTTGAAAACTGTTCTGTGGAATCTTTTCTAACAAAATCATACAACTGTGTAGTTTGTATTGAAATATCCGTTTGAAAGTATCGCTTGTGTTGAATCATCATTGCTTATGGTACTAGTATGTGTTTATTTGTTCAAACTCTATGTATTAAAGTAAAATAATTATATAGTCAAAATATGCTATTATACAAGTTAACATATGCTATTATATGGAGGTCTCCGGAACCGTTCCGAACCGTTCTGGGGTCTATAGGCTTTGAATCCGGAACCGTTCCGGAACCGTTCTAAATAGTTCTAAATAGTTCTGGAAGTATCCGGAACCGTTCCGAACCGTTCTGGGGAAATCCCCGGAACCGTTCCGAACCGTTCTGCAAACCCCAAATAATGGCTTATATGTTAACTTACTTTTATACTTGTATACAACTTGATAAAACCAAATATACACACTTGTAGCTTATAGCTACTCTGTAAAATACAACTCATAATCCATAACTCTTGACTATCAAACTTCAATAAATCAATTTATAAGGTTTAGGAACTGTTTTAAAATTGAAACACATTGTTATAACATGTTAGAACTGTTAATTTACAACTTAGAGCTTCTAGCTATGACTTGACACTAAAAACCGTGTAACTTATAACTTTGTAACCTTTTTAACTTTGAACTTACAACTTATAACTAAAACTTAGAACCTTTAACTTGTAACATAATTTTGACTTTACTTCTCGATTTGACTTCAACTGTTTAACACTTTATAAGTATATTTTTGATGTTTGCTTTACTTTACTTGCTTTGTATTTATGAATTATATAAGACTGTTTGAGTTTTTAGATGAATTGTATGTTCTTGTTTGTTCGTGTATGTTTGAAAGTTTGGAAGTATATCGACGGGGTTTGTTTGTATAAAACGCAACAATAAAGTTTAAGCGTTGTATTCGGATAAAATGACATATTTATAATGATTGTAATCTGTTACTGCAACACTGCTACGGACCAATGCACAACAACGTAGCGACAGAAATGCAGTAACACATCTTTGATCTGCTACAAATACGTAGGATTCCGTTTGCAGTTGATAAATTTGTTTCACCATGTTTTACCTAAGTTTTACCGTGGTCTTCGCAGCACCGAAAACAATACTTAAAAACTGTGGATTTGCATTTGCAGTTCATCCATGCACATGAGCACACAGCCATACATACACTCATCAATGCACTAGTTAACCAATTTCACAGTATACAGGGTCACATCGTAATATTGTTTTTATGAGTTCTTTTTTCTAGTTGGAGCTTGCGCACATGCATTCTTTGGTGTTCTCCTTTTTGAAGAAATATGGGGCCCCGAATTACACAGATGTTGTATATTGTTGTATACTGTTTTCCTTTCCAACTTACGGACCAATATTTTCAAATACGAAATTTGTATGTAACATCTAACTTGATGTTGAAAGGTTTTTGGTCCAAGAACTTGGAGCAATGCGTTTCCCTTTCAAAGTGGTGGGTTTCTCTTTCAAAGTGGTGGGTTTCTTCATTGGGTGGCATTTTTAGTGGAAACACCCCTTATTTCCATGGATTGCTACATAGTTCTTTCCATAGTTCTTTCCCTGGACATATGAAATCAACAGGAATCCAAATTTAAGAGACTAAGGTTTGAAATAAGTTATAAGTACTTATACTCCCATTTATAGAATGTATAATCCCATTTATAACCAGTTATAACTGGTAAATGGCCATAACTGTACCAAATGGGTTTGTCTGAAAATAGGGCCAACGAACATCTCAGAGTTTATCATCACATTTCCCATTGGACCAAGATGACCAAGCAATCCTGCAGGATCATGTCTACTGAAGACAGGAATCCAACATCTGTGGTTGGAAATTCACTGTGTACCCAGGAACAATCAAAAGCCTGGTCGTACAGTGGGGGTAAGTTGCTCTTGTATGGTCGGAGCCATGCCATTTTTTCCTGGTTACAAGTCCACTACTGGGTAGTTGTTGTCAGTTACGCACACCATTTGATGGTTGCCTAAGAAGGCGCAAACTGGGGCAGCGCAAGATTAGATTCATGATGGATATGTAGTATATCTACAGTTGGATGGGTGAACATAAACCAACTTGGAACTGGGGGAGCCACTGCGGATTTTGATAGTTACTCATCTCATAATGCCAGTAGTAAACCCATCATTTAAGGGATGATTTGAATCGAACCCATTTATGGCACTATTGAGAATGTAGTATTATTGGGTGTACCATGGTTTACCACATTACATGTATTGGTGTGCTTACCACATGACCATTGTAACATAAAGCATTCAGTTTTGGGGTATCCTATTTTGAGACAATTCCTAATTCTTTGAAATAGGGGTTTCATGGGTTTCATAAGCAAACCTAGTTTAAACATAGCTGCGGACAATGCAACATGTATCAATGGATTGGTTTAAGTTTAAGGGAAAATCTTCACCGGAAACCGATTTTCCCATTAAATATGGTTTTCCCAACAAAAAACATTTAAACTATATTTAACCATATTAAAAACCATCTTCACCGGAAACCAGTTAAAAATTTCCCAACAAAACCAAGCCCTTGAATGTAACATCAATTCCCGAGAGACATCTGATGAATTTCCAAAAATCCCACGGTTTGACCCATGAACATGGCCCAGTCGAGATAGTGGAATTACCCAGCTAGAAAATGGTGGATCTTTCCATTACGTAAATGTTGATTTTCCCAGTAAAAATGGTGCTTTACCCAGCTAGAAAATGGTGGATCTTTCCATGGTTTTTGGTATGTTTACCGGAGAGTACCCATTGAAAGCCCTAGATCCCGATCCCAAGAAACAGCCCCCGGCCTTGAGGAAGGCGAGCTCGAAAGGCCAGCCGGCTGCCCAGGTTCAGCGGGCCCAGCAAGCACAGCAGGGCCAAACGTGGCCAGCGACCGGCCGTCATTCACAGCCGTCGAGGTCCAAGGGATGAACGTGCACAACTTGAGAACTGACGACTAATACATATTTGTGATGCATCTATAAGAAATCTAAACATTATGTCCATATACAATTATGTGCATTTCTATGAAAATACATACATATATATATATAGATACAGGTGTGCATGGAGAATTGGTATTGTTCCCACAAACCACTGGGTATTCCAATGATTGGGGGGAAAATTATGGAAGTCCTGAAAGGAACAAATACCATCCAAACACAAGCTAAGGTATCTATAGCTTGTTACTTAGGTGATACAAGTGGGACTTAGGTCACTTGGGACATATAGCTAAGTATACTGGCTCTTGCTCATTGTTGGTAAAAATCTTCTGCATTGGTTGGTGGCAAGGCAAGTCATTCGCTGTCATTGCCTTTTGTGAAGGCTGGGCATTCACCTACCAACTGTTCGCATGATTGGTAAAAGTTGTTCCTATGCTTCATTTTGGGCCAATCTGTGTCGGTCAAGAATGACGATACTCTCAAACATGTGCACACCATTAGATTCAAAAGCAGCACACGCAAATAACTATTGTCAAATTCAAGCATTCTTGGCAAAGTCCTTGATGATCATGAAATTGCTCTTGAACATGTATAGGCATCTGCCAGCACCCTACATGAAAAGAAACAAAACTGGTTACACCATTATTTACCCTTTTTGGGTGGTCACATAGCAAATGCAGGTCGGCCGTGCCCCAACTCCATAATCACAGGGGATTCCCGTGGGGTAAACCATACAAGAAAGTGTGGAAATCCCAGGGTTACGTTCAGAACATGCTCTACGAATCTATGATGGGTTTCCATGGTTTTCCACATCTTTTTGTATGTCTACAGGATGGTAAATGCATGTAAATGCAGTGTTTTCCTTGAATCCTCCAGCGCCTCACTCTCAGGGCCCCACTTCCCGCATCCAGTTGGCTCATGACCTGCGCCGACAGGACTTTCCCTGGAGGACATGGGAAAATCATGGGAAAATCATGGGAACATCCAGTACATACATGAAGGCTTCTGGCTGGGAAAATCATACAAAATGGAACTGCTTGGTGGTATAACTAGCCATCTGAAAAATATGAACGTCAGTTGGGATGATTCTTCCCAACTGAATGGAAAATAAAAAATGTTCCAAACCACCAACCAGGGAAGATTTTCCAGCAAACCATATTTGATGACCAAACGGTAACTTTGTGGTGTGGGTTTCACTGTTTTCCCCTTTCATTTCGTAAAAGTAAAGTCATCAGGATTCTGAATGTTGACTCAGGTTTCAAGCAACCGTTTGTACTGCAACATGTCAGGGACTCTCGTTGCTATGTGTGTATATATTTATATATATATATATATTATTGTGTTGCTGTGAAAAACGAAGATATTCTGGCACCACATGACATAGTCTAGTGGTATCATATCTTATCAGCGTTTCAGGCCCCCTTCAACGATAGTCGATGAATTCGAGATCATCCCATAAACGGTTGGACAAAGATCCACCAGCTGGGCTTGAAAAGTTTGGGATGCCCGGGTTCATGTTGAGTGTCTCCAAGTTTTTTGACTGCAAATGGCCTAACATATGTTAACATCTGTTAACATCAACACAGCCAACTAGGGATGTTCCAAAATCCTCTGCTTTGTCATCATTTTCCCGAAATCAGAGGGCAAACATGGACCCTACACCACCAAGCCATAAGGTGAACCCATTCCCGTGGTGCAAGCTGTTAAGGCACCCAGGAGAAGAGCTGAAGATCAAAGAAACCGCTGACCTTGGCAGCGCTGTGGTGGAATTCACGGGGTGAACTGAAAAAATCTTGCTGTTAGTCATTACCAGAAGGTTCACCTTAATGATTAGTTACCATTTTTGACTAATGAAAAAGGAACCAAAAAATGATAACTAAAATGAGTACCTCAATGAGTCATGAACGATTTTAGTTACCATCTTTTTGATGATTCACGAGGCTCGCCATGGTGCACATTACCGCGGTCGGCCGTTGCTAGTGAGCCAGGGCAACTACTCTATCCGTAGCCTTGGTGAATTCCCACGTGGACACACGGGAATTTCATGAATTTACCTTCACTGCAATACCCACTGATATTTGGATTACCCATTTATTTGTTTCATGAATTTACCTTCTATCTGGAATTTCTATTACCAAATGTTTGCATGTCCAAAAGATTGCTAATCCGACAAGTGAAACCAGTGAACATTAAGTGACAATCCCACGATTTATGATCCACTTTATACATTGTTCCAACATGGTCAATTGAAAATCAATCGTTGGATCCAACAGTGTTGGGGTTCAATGTTTCTTCCTCGGTTTTGATGATTCTTCAGGTGGCGTTTTAGGGGTGATTCTGGCGCTAAAATGATGTGTCGATGTTTGGTTCAGATGAGGGGGGGTAATTGTTGTTGCTGTTAGGGTTTTATGTTTGTGCTTGGGCGGGTGGTTACTTCATAATATATTTTGTTAAGATATTATGAGTTAATCATTTATGCTTTCCAGTTTCCTATTCCATCCCACCAGTGCTCAATCACTCTTATTTGTGTTAAGCACGGCTTGTTTGTATCATTCATTTCATCCATTGCTATTGACAAAAGAGTTAGGTTTATAGCCTATATAGCCATTGCTTTGAATTCACCATCAGGGTTGAGTTCCCTGCCACAATCAACTATAACTGTTTTATTGGTAATGTGTTCATACATTGCTCTCATAGTGTCAATTCTTACGAACGAATATATTATCATACCATTTACTCCTCTGCTTCTTTCATCCTATGAATTGCTGTCTTCCAAAACTTGTCCCCTTCATCATCAGGTGAAGGCATAGGATGACACTTTACAGCTGTTTTCTTTCCCAATCATCATCTTCGCTTTCACTATATACCAAAGTCAGCATATATAATATACCAATATTCCCTGTATCTATAACCTCAAATTTTGCTCTACTCATTTTCTCTTACTATATATGTGTATTTTTTCTTTAAGTAACCCTTGTGTCTCTTTCAGTTTTCGGGTTCAGGTTGGTTTTTCTCTTTTAGAAATGCTTGGTGCTGCTCTTCATTCCATTCGTCGTATTTCTCTCTTGTCCTTGGCGACCATATGTCATAAGGGTCGTGCATATTTTCATTTCCATCACTTTCATTGTCATCATCTTTTATCTCTTGTATCATCCTTTGATTTTGTCTATACTGTGTTCTCTGTCAAAGCCTTCCATTACTTTTCTCACTCTTTCAAGACCAAAATGTCTTTCAATCTCTTCGTCATTTGTCTGAATTGTTGTATACATTCTTCGTAAAAGTTGTATTCCTCCTCTTCATAGTTCATAAACATGTCCATTCGTTGCTTTTCCATCTCCATAGATTTGTTTTCCATATATATTGGAATTTCATTTGTTTCTTGGAGCACCTCCCACAAACATTCACGAAGGTCTTGAGCAAGTAGTTCCAAGACGGTTTTTGAAATCACCATTGTTCAAGTTGATAAGTACGACATCCACAGTTAAATTTAGTCATCTTACTCTCTTACTTACTATTAAAAGATTTTGTTTTCTTTAAGTATTGTTTTATTTAAGTTTTCTGTTTCACTTGCTGTTTCTATTTCTTTGCCATCCCTTACAACAACCCTGTTCCTATCTCTCCCTACATAATGTAGTATACCGATTAGTGTGATGGACCTCTACTGTGGAAAAAACAATCCAAAATAATTGAGTATCTTGTGGATGGTGGGGGTGGGGCTCTATTGTGGAAATTATTTCTCAGATCCATTTTTTTCAAGAGAAACTTTATCACTCTTTATACGCCTTTCTTTGGTAAAGCTGGTCCATTTTCTTTAGAAAGCCATATTCATGTTAAAGCCTTGAAAATGCAAGGTTTCTCAAATAATTATATGCCTTATTAAACCTTATCAAAAAAAAATACCCTTATAAAACAGGAAAACCTATATATTGAAAGTAGATTGATGTCAATTGAAATCCTACTTACGTTGACTATCCTAAAAACTGTTGAGGGGGGAGAAAATGGCGAGTTATTGAGTAGCCCAAAATTGTTGAGGCGGGGGGGCACGCTAATCAGTAGCCAACATTAATCAGTGTCATCATCATCATCACCACCATATTTCAATATAAATCTGTTCTTTTCCCATTCAATTATTGTGCTCAACTTTGTACATTTGTGATACTCATAAAGCGGAAGTGTCCCCAACCTTCCATACCACTGAACCAATTTCTTGAAACGGCTCGCTGCCTTTCTAAATCGTGTCATACCTTTTATTCTCATCATCACGGGGTCTCCCATTAGAAAAGACAAAATGGTTGCTTGTATGCCGACGGGTAGTTCTTTGATTTTATCCATCTCTCACTATCATAAGTCTCTATTTCTTTTAGTTAGTTTTTTTCACTGGATCGGCAATTTTAAATCTAATGCTAAAATATATGGCAAGAAGTATAACAAAAGACGAGACTATAAGCAATGTATACTATGATCTAGAAAGTGCGTTTGGTTCATTCAATGAAACACTCAAGAAAGCGAAAGAGCAAGACCCGACAATCAATATAGTAAATGTCAAGGGTTTCTTGGCGAAACAGCCCAACAACCATTTTAGAAAATACATGGAGCGTTCCATTATAATTAGTATATTATATATATATATCTCATTATTGACTTGCGTTTCTTTAAGTACTTTTTGAGTTGAATCTGAGGGTTGAGGATGAGGTGGTTGAGGTATGTTGAGGTGTTGGTGAGTGGAATTGGCTATCAACGTTAAACCGGTCTTGCCACCTTGTATCCTCTGACATTTACTCCTTACCTGTTAAGGTGGCATTTTTTAAAGTAGTTCCTGGGCAAGGGTTGCCTGCTGGATTTTTTTGGAACTGGGGTTTGATTTCAACATAAAAACATTCTCATTAAAAATGTTCATTAATGAGAAGGTTTGGCGTTTGGTGTCAATGGCGTCTGATCCTGATACAAAGTTTGGTTTGATGGTGTTTTGATAAATTTGATTTGCTTGAAATGGTGTGTCCGCAGTCGGGAGACACTTGTAGGGTGTTTTGAGTTCTTCCTGATTTGTGACATATTTTTTGAACGGAGGCACTGCTGGAGCGTGAAGTTCCTGCAGCATAAACTTCTTCGTCCATCGTTTGCTTACTACCATCCATTACAAAACTGCAGGTCATACTACTTGTAGAATATCTTAATTATATAAGAATGCTTTTCTTTAAGTGTTTTTAGGTGTCGTTTCTAATGGATGGATTTTAGATTAAAAATGAAGTGTCCTAAGTCCTAAAGTGTGCTTTCCGACTGTCAGAAACGATGGTTTCTAGCCACTATGTAAAATATGCTGGGTTGTAGTCGTCTGGATTTTGGAGAGGCAATACTTGTAGATTTTGTGGCAGGTGCGCTTGAGCCATTTTTTGTTTAGAAACCAAGGAGAGGAAGGACGGGAGGAAAAAAGGTGTCCTAAATAGATAAGCGTCCTTTCCAAGCAATCAGTTCTGATCCTTAAAATTTATTGTCTATTTTGTTATCCACATGTGTACATATATATATAACATATATTCATATTCCAAGAATGGTTACCCTTCCATCTCTCCCAAGCGTCCCAGTGCTCCAGACCGGCTTGATGTGAATGAAGACGTCCCTTCTGACAAGCAGGATAAACCAATATGCATATGATTGTATATGTGTGTGTATGTATGTGTATGCATGGGGATGTATGGGGGTATGTGGGCATGTAAGGGTCCAAAAACTAATCCACCCAGAGGTAAAAGGGTCGCAAGGTGTATGACCCCGAAAGGTCTGGTTGAACCTAAGGCCAAATGTTAGGTCCCGGAATGCTGTGTGTCCAAAGTCACTCGCTCCAAACACTGGTTGAAACGGAATGTCAAAAGTCAGCTTGAGACTGTTTGGTATTGATGCTCGCTCCAAACTCATGGTTGCACGGAACAACCCTTCACAAAGACAAAGAAAACCAAGTCTTCCCAACCTCAGAACGGTGCGGATGGCAGAAGGTTCAACACTGTCGGGGTGAAGTAGGATTTGCGCGTCATCAGTTCAAAATCTCAACACTAATCTTCTCCACCGATACATGCGCTTCAATCACATGTTCGCCTGAATGCTTGGTGAATACACAATGCGCTGATGGAGCGTCCATGGTATGGAGCTCAGTTGCCAGCAACAACATGAGTTTGCATCTGACATGACTGGGTAGTGCTTCTTTTCTCCGTCTGCATCCAAGTGAGAGGCAGTAATTTACAAGTGGCAGGTGATCCGTAATTAACGGAAACCAAGAAAGCGGGACTCCTTCAGTGTCCCGCGGTGCCAAATTCACAATGCAGCAAGGAACCGTTTCCTCCACACACTGGGCTACAAACAAACAATGTGAAATAGCAGCTGGTGCGAATCGGGATCCATCTCCGTCAAGGTGAGGGATGTGAAACAAAATCAGGAGGGGACACGCTGGGAGTGCAGTTTTTTTGTTCACTATTCTCTTACACAGGCACTGACAGTTTCTTCAGTTATAAGGTAGAGTGAACACTTGGACACTTCTTCAAGCAATACATGTCTAGTGGACATGAACACAGCGAATCTGTAGCTTAAGCTTTAACATGTGATTGCAGTTTTGAAAAAAAAAACGATAAACAAGTACACTCCTACCACGTCCTGCTCTCCAAACAATCTATGGAAGATTGGCACTTAATTAAGAAGCATCAGGCACTGCAGGACTGCGCGAAACAGGTGAGAAATGTGAACGAGGCAAAGGCGCATCTCCGGCTGCAGAAGTACGGGAAACACAATGGAGGGCTACAGTCAATGTGTTGAGCTGGTTCTTCACACCTTCCTGAAACTCCTTCTGCTTCGCCTGCTCCTTCTCCACTAGTGCCTGCAGTGCCTGCAGTTCTTTTTTCTCAACCTTCAGCTCCTTCTCCTGCTGCATTTGCTCTTTCATCTTGTTTTGCTCCTCATGAAGCTGCTTGAGAATTTGGATCAACATGGTTTTTAAGTTTTTATCCTCTTGTTCCGCGATCTCCTTCAGCTGCACCTGTAGTTTCTGGTTCTTCTCTAGATTCTCGTTCGTCATCACCTGGTAATCTCCGACATTCTGCAAATTGTCCATCTGAGAAATGAACGCTACACAAGTGGCATCTTTGACAAACTCCATGAGATCGGGCGCATTCATCAAGACTACGGGGAGCAAGATCAAGACTGCCTGGGAAAAGATTTGGTTTGCCAGCAAAGAACAAATCAAGCGGTAGCAAAAGCGACCGCAATGTTTTTGCTCCCAAAATTCTTCACAGTAGGGCTCCCAGAAAGGCTTGTACTCCGTATGATAAAACGTGTGCTCGCGCACCCGTAGCACGGTGCTGACAAGCGCGCCGCATACAAAAAAGACATATTGCTGGAATGTGAATTCCTCAACCTTGTCCTGATTGTACACCGCCCCTACCACAAGCAAGTACAGCATGAGCTGAACAAAAAGCATGGTGATGCATTCAATGAAATTCCCAACTCGAAGGTCTGTGTACACTGACACTGGCTTCAGCTCCAATTTCTTGAGTTCCTCTGGTTTCTTTTTTTTCTTACAGCACAGCTGCAAGATAAACCAGAAGCTTACCAATGTGAAGTAAGACAGCACTTCAAGCACGACTCTTTGGGGGGAATGTTTCAACATGGCATACACCCACATGAAAAGTGCGCAACTCTCCAACAAGCTCTTGACTGACATCGCAAAACTACCGATTTGCTGGAGTCGTCGCTCCCACTCTTTCTGTGCTTTCTCTGGATCTCCAGCGGCATCCTTGGAGCCAGACCGACAGCAACCATCGACACAACCATCGAAGCACACTTTGCCACAAACCATAATGGCTGTAATACAGGTTGTTGTGCAAAGCAAACAGAGCCCCACTGCAGCTTGCCACTCTTGGAGCACGGCAGTGAAGCTGTAATCTTCGTCATGGACTGGTCTTTGAAAGAGATCTTGGATACTGAAGTCGTCTGGTGGTACTGTGTCAGCATCGGCAATCCCGGGTTGGACCCCAGCAACCGTCCATGTAGTAGATGATGTAGACAATGTAGCCAACGTCGATGTAGTCAGTGTTGAATTAGTCAGCGTGGATGAAGCCAAGGTTGATGCCGCAGACGTACTCGTTGATGTAGTCAACGTTGATGTAGTCAACGTTGATGTATCTGACATCGATGCATTCGTTGATGTATTTTTTGATTCATCCATTGATGCATTCATTGCTGTAGCCAACATTGATGTAGTCAATGTTGATGTAGCCAGCGTTGAGGTAAATGTAGCTGACGTTGATGTGGAGAGTGACGAGACGAGCTTGACATAACCAGTCACATAGATGGAAAACCAAAGATAAACGAGCACGGCACACCGAGACATGACTCGATGAAGGTGGCAGAAGTTTACAGGCTCGATCCAAAAGGTCAACCTCACAACCCATATGCTCCATGTATGGTATATTTACCAACATTTGGGTGATTTTGTTCGGGTAACTGTTGGTAAATATTCCATACATGGAGCATTTGGGCAAGGGTAGTTTGCCAGAGCAACTTGCCAAGTCCAACCGTCCCCATTCGCTGGGCATCCCGACAGAACAAAGAAGGGGTTGATGAAAACATCGCTCGCCATGACGGAAGGGGAAAAAGGTAAAGCCTCTTCAATGTCCCAAAAGCTATGCCTGGTTGGTGGATTTACCCATTTTGAAAAATATGAAAGTCAATGGGAAGGATTATCCCATATGTTACGGAAAATAAAATTCATGTTCCAAACCACCAACCAGTAAATGATGTTCCATTGATTTTCCCATTTAAATTGCCATTTCTAAGGGATTTTCCCATTTAATAATGGTGAATAGTGGTTAATAGTGGTTTAAAACCACCAGCCAGTGATTATTAACCATTATTAACCATTATTAACCACCATTAACTTCCATGTTCCAAACCACCCAACCAATACTATGGGACCCCCATCCTGCTTCCGGTTTCACCGTTGGATTCACCGTGCAGCCCCCACGGCAAAGGACCAGAGCAACTCGGACCTGGGTGGCGTGATCGGTGACGAACGAACGCGGCTTGCAAATTAAAGGTACCTGACCTGGTAAACATACAAAAAGCTATGGAACATGGCCATTTAGTTCGTGAGTTTTCCCATTGAAAATGGCGATTTTCAATAGCTACGTTTGTTTACCAGAGGGTAAAACATAACAAGTCATCATGTTTATGGTTACTTTAAATGATTAAAATAGTAAATAATCAGTAAAACATGAACTCTTCTAGGCAAATCATCATTTAATTCAATGAACACCATCACTGTTAATAGGCAAAGGCAAAACATATTTTTTATCATCTAACTAAATGGGCCATGGCTTCCGTAGCAAACTGTTGAATAACTGGAAGGTATGTATATATATATACACAGTATATAGGTGTAGAGTGCGATCAACCATCCACAAATTCCACACTTTCACCAGAAATGCGCGATACAAACCATCCCCAAAATGGCGGGTTGATCGCACTATCCCAGCCCTAAGTGGCTCACAAACCGATCAGCATGGCATTATCCACCTATTGGGAGAAACAAATCAAGGGAACTATTAACCATGCTCATGAACCACCACAATGTGGACCCTCCCAGTTATAAGCTGGTTTCTAACGCCATCTAACTATAGATATATCTACCATACTATAGTCATACAACTATTATACAACTTATATCTATATAGTTATAGAGCAACGTTCCTCTCTGACCTCGGCTGCACAGGCTACATTGACGTGCTGAGGAAGAAAGTCTTCGTATTGTGCCAAAATCACTCCTTGCGGAGAACTTAGACGAATTCTTCTTCCCCTTTTCGAAATTTCCTGCCAGTCTAAAACTCTCCCAAGGACATCTCCAGTTTGGCAATCTGATAAAGACTATAGACATAGACAGCACGCTCTGAGAGCAAAATCTTATATTTCCCATGGATTTTCCCATGATTTCCGATGGCTTTCTCATACGACCTGGGGTCCCCATGCTGGTTCTGCTTCGACAGCTTTGGTGTTCCTCGGGCAACATCTCGGCGGACCTGGGCGGGATAACCATGAAAAACATCCTTTTTTGGGACATCTAGACAAAAACATAACCATGCTTTTATATCTACTTAATGTATATAATATTTAGTTAGTAATTAATATATACAATATATATATATATATAACTTATATTACATATATATTTTTACTAGTAATTTATTGAGTTAATTAACCATTGGTATCATATACATCATGGATTATAACCTAACATTACTTAAATACATGATTTGCCATCCCATAGTATAGAATTCTACTAATATTAAACAATCTTGATGTTATACCATTTGGATGCTCCATTCTTATATTATTACATATGTATATAAATAAATAAATAAATATATATATATATTTATTTATTTAAATCGATCCAAGTAATATTAAACCATCAAACTAGTGATTGTGGTATATAAGGTTCCAACCATTGCCACTATAATATCGGAACAATCATGTTCCATTATGTCCAAACTATGGGACAATGATATTACTATATTGGAATATATATATATATATATGGGAGAAATATATGGAAATCATGGGTACAAATCAAACAATTATGGGCACAAATGGGACATGCTAATATGTGGAAATATCATGACATATCTCACTAGATTCAATGGTAACTAATATGGTGACATAGCTATTTTTATTTTACTATTGAATAAGACAGGAAATGACAATTAGTAACTGGTTATGGACATTCTGGGTGCAAATGGACAATGAACATACAGGGAAATAACCAATCACAGTTTCTTTTTGGATTACTATATCATGTTCGGAACATCAACGGATTTAACCATGAACAATAGGGATGATCATGGGATGCGGTTCTCCGATTCAACTAGCCATAAAACGCGGATCTTGCGGGTTACCCTATGGTAACCAGAGCTAGCTGTGGAAAATGGCCCATTGACTTTAAGCAATCTTTTGAAGGCATGGCTTACGACCAGAAACGTGTGTACCCTCCGGTACTCAAACGTGGCAATGGAAAATCCACTATACCCAGGCCTATGGCATTTGGGTTTACCAGGTGGCTTTGATCGCACTATGCCATAGGATCTGGTGGTTTATCACCGTGATATCCCTATGATATTCAAAGTTGGCATCCTCCTATAAACCTACAACAACATGTGGAAAATCCACCATGAATATGGATATTTTCCTAGAGTTTCCCTATGAATTATCCACAGTTTTTTCTATGTTTAACCCAGGGTATATCCAAGTCAATCACTATTAATCAATCATTATATTACTCACTATCAACCACTATTGAAAAATGAATTTCTCATTAATCACCATTAATCACTATTAATCAACCCCATTTGTAGATTAATCACCAGCTTTATGCTAAGCACTAAACCCTGGGGCAAGCTACCATAATCACTACTATGATAATCACTATTATACTACCACAGTTGGGAAATGCAGTTTATGGCTATTATATAATCACCAGCACTACGCTCTGGCAAACTAATATAGCTATAGAAAATGGCCCATAGAAATAGTTGACTTAGCTTTGAAAATAGTGATCTTCCATAGCAAACTGTGAGTTTACCAAACGGTAAATAATGGTAAATATCCCATTAGTACCGATGGAAAATCACCATCTTGAATAGGCAAATCAACTATAAATCAGCATTTTTCCATATAAATCATCATTTTCCCATGGTTTTCCTATTTAAAATGGTGATTTTCCATAGTTTTTTGTATGTTTACCAGAGTGTGCCTTCCGTTTACCCCAGAGTATCACCACCTTGGCCCTCCAGCCGTTTGGCTCACCAAGGAGAAGAGCTCCGGAGAGCCTTGCCTCTGGTTCCGTGGGAAAAAACGGCTTGTTTTTGGCGCTAGCGATGCTAAGGTACCCAACGAAGGACACACCAGGCATATTTATGCATAAATATTTTTATAAATGCAAAATATATTTTATATACAATAATGTATTACATGAAAATAAATTAAAAAAAATATAGGCGATCTATATGATATATTTAATAAGTAAACATACATAATATACTTTCAATAATTTATTACATGGAAATCACAAAAATAGAAAATCTAATCTATAATATAGGTTATAAGGTTATATGACATATATATATATAACTCATGTAATATATAAAAGAAACACGTAATATCTTATTATATGGTAAAGTGTTGGGCTAACCAGCTATAAATGGTGATTAATCATGCGGTTGATAATGATGAATAGTATTCAATAGTGATTAAGCGTGAATTAATGTCGTAAACCCAATGCCATAAACCATCCCCGAGTCATCACCATTTCTATGGGTGCTATAGACCATCCCCAACTGATAGGTTTATTAATGGGTTTTGAAAAAAATAATATACTAGTAGTACTAGTCTGATTGGTGGTTTCAACCCCTCTGAAAAATATGAGTTCGTCAGTTGGGATTATTTTTCCCAATATATGGGACAATAAAAGCCATGTTCCAAGCCACCTCACCAACCAGTAGCAGTAAGAAAATAGTTTAACTCACTTAATATCAGAGTTAAAACTTGTCTATCTTCGTGGTTGTGAATTTGTGGAAAATATGGCGGATTATATCTAGTACTCATGTGAATACTTAGACACACAGATACTATTCAATACACACACAAATGTGTCATGTGTCTAACCGTGCTTTTCAAACATCTACTGTAAAATTAAGGGTACCTCTTAACCCCGATGGTAAAAACCACCATGAACACACCTGATGACACATATATTCAGTATGATTGCACCTGATGACCACAATACAACACAAAAGAACCAATCCATTGAAATATGGTCGGATTCAGGGCATGTCTAAAAGTTTGATTGTGGTTCATTATTTTGTGATCTTACACCCTCCAAGTACCCATAAACAATGGTGTTTTGCCCATAGGTTCAATACTTGTACCATTTTTTGGGGATATTTGGAGGGTCTAGGTATAAGTTGTTTGTACTTTTATCATGTATTGGGCCTATATATATATAATTATAAATATGTAATTTGAATCATACATGTCTTCTATACCATATGCTTGTTTAACGTTTGCAAACCTCTGTGGTACCGCTATCCTTGTGTCACCATTCCGATCAACAACCGATCACATTATGGCACCGCCCAGGGGCCGTAGTCGAGCAGAAGCAATGGCCACAGAGGCCTGAGTCCGGGATTCTCAGGGGCTAGGGGTATAACAAAAGTAATGGCTGGTTGGTGGTTGACCTATCCCTCTGAAAAATATGACACTCAAATGGGATTATTGTTCCCAATATATAGAAAAATAACATGTTCCAAACTAACAACCAGAAAAGTAATGGGGTTACATATATCAACTGATGGTTTTACGCTAAATATATGAATATAAATGGGGTCAAAGAAGTTATCTAAAATGTTATAAACCGACTTGGGATCCCATCGTGTTCCCACTAAGTCACTCGGAGCCACAATTTCATTTTGTGGTTATTTGGCATTGCACATCTTAGATACTCCACCAAAAACATTGGTTAGCACATATTCCTCTTTATTACATTGCTAAACTACCCGTCCAGCCACGTATGTTGACAAATGTCTGAGTGAGTCAAAAATTGGGAACTGACCATTGGTATATTGCATTTTTATGCAATTTTCAGTTACAAACATCATAGTAAACAATTAAACAATACCATTTTTGGATACCCTGATCCAAAACACACCTGTGTAAAACATGTAATGCACCTATGATTGGAAGATGTCTATGATTGGGTTGTGACCACCAAACATCAACATATCAAATGGATTTCACATCAAAACCCTACATATATTCTCCACATGAAGATACTACGGACTGTCTCCAATCAGCACTTCTTTCTTGTTTTGCACATGTCGTATCATGTCGTTGACATGTCGTACTGTTCTATTTGCAGTTCTGTGCTTTGCAAACCTGTGCACAGAATCATCACATACAGTGACATATACCCCACATCGTCCGCCAGAACCCCCTTGAAGCTACTCCATACAAGACTTTTCCGCACGAAGCAAGGCCAAGTACACCCCTAACATCTAACATAGGGACTCTCTCCCAACAATGATTTGGAACCTGGAAGACAAACTCATGTCTTGTTTCAAACCAAAATGGCAGACATAAAACTATGGCTGATGGTGTCCTTTTATATAAGAGTTTCCACGGTGTCAGCGCCCGAGGTCACTCATCCTCCTCACTGGCACCACCATCCTGACAATCCGCATGAAAAGAGGCAAACTACCCAGCATTTAATCATCATGAGGATGAAGAAAGTGATAATGACAGCGACAGTGATAGTGATCGTGGTGGTGATGATGATGATGATGATGATGGCTACATGTTACATGTTCACTAACCCATTTTCCCCTCGCAATCTCAAAGCAAGACCCCTGCCTGCAGAAAGCTCACCAAACGCCTGCGGCTCACCTTCAGTGAGAGCCAAAGAATTGGGGAATAGAAACAGCAATGAAAGCACACTGTTAATATAGATGTACACAGCTCTGTATTTCAACACTGCAATAAAATATATCATAAAAAAACCTATAATATAATATAATATGATGTACATACACTATAATATAATATAATATAATATCATATAAAATAATATCATATAATATAATAAAATAACATATAATAAAATATAATAAACCATAATATAATATAATATGATATATTAATATACTATAGAATATAGCTACAGCAATGAAATATACTATTCTAATAGTATATTAACACTGTAACTATTGTTAACACTAGCATTACAGTATACATGGTAAAATACTTTTCTTTATATAACTAATTGTTAACGGTTCGACATTTCCGTAAAATGTGAAGCTTAGTTGGGACAACGACCATGATTCAAACAAAATGTATTCGAAACATTCAAAGCAACCAGTAGGCGATAAGAAAGCTATACTACGCCGTTTCTGGGTGAGTTTATGTGATGTCATCATGTTGCATCAGCTTTCGTGAACTTTCGTGAAGCACCAACCCGAAGAAAAACTCCTTGCTGAACTCTGGTTGGTGGTTCACGAATGGTTAACATACATTGGTTAATGTATCCCATATGCTCCATGGTGCTGGAATATTTACCAACATGTACCTCATAAATGACCCAGTTATGTAGGTAAATATACCAGCACCATGGAGCATCTGGGTATGTTAAGGTAAGAGTGCCTAGATTCAGGCTTAAGCCGCTGGCGGCCTTTTTTCGATGCTGACCGGCACACAACGGCTGGACAATCCAAACGTTGACGGTTGAACATTTAACAAAGGACAAACCTATATTGTGTATGTTCATATATGTGCATGTAAAAAAAAGGCCTACATATTACATATATATATTAGCCATCTTTAATCTTAAAAAGAATGCACTTTCATACATATATATATATATACTTATTATGAACATAAATACGTTGGTACACCATGGTACACCTTAACATACATTAACCATTAAGTGACATATATCAAAATATTATATGCAATATATATATATGGATACAAATGGACCATTGTTTTCCAGTTGGCCTAGATTTAGATTGCCAAACGATGCCAAAAGTAACCCCCTGTCAGGTCCAAGAAACCCCCAGTTCTTCTAGCATCTCCTCTGCATCTTCCAACCTGGAAACTTGATGCCACCAGCAGGACATGGAGGCTTTGCCAATTGGACATCCCCTATTCCGGGATCCATCGTACCTTCTTAGGAAGTGTGACTAGGGTATAATTTACTATAATTTGGAATGTTAAGTGCCTTCTCAGACAGTGGCCATGGATCCATATAGGGATTTTTCTATGGAGGTTTCCATCGGTAAAACAAATCTAAACTTAGATTCTCCACTCAATGTTGAACTAGCGGAGGGTAATCGATTTCACCAAGGAAGGATTCAATAAACAAAAGGGCTGAGTGGATTTAACCACATGATCCAGGCACCCCTGCATGGGCCATACATCTCATTGATCGTCCATGGCAAAATGAGATTTCTGGAGAGAAATGTTATATAACCTTCCCAAGGGTTGACAACTTGTCGCAAAGCACCAACTAGTTTAAACAGGTAATTATGATGCTTCACAATTTGATTTTTGCACACTACTCTCTTCTGTAATCAAAGGTGATCTGGAACATCCGCGATTTATAGGACATGTTCACATTGAAACCGTCATTTATATAGTGCCGGGATTTCCTAGCCAGACTGGCAGAGATCAAACTGAACATCCATGTGCAACCTCTTCGACAAAGCGCACCGTGCCTGATCTTGTCCTTAGCAAGGGTGGGGGTGGGATATCTTCATGGCATTTGATTTGGTGGTCCATCCATCTTTGCAAGTGGGTCATGGTGGGTTATAGCCCCAGTTAAAAAAACCATTTGTTAGTGGGCTGACCTTACCCCATTCCCAAGTACCCAAGTAGGAGCTACGAAATCACCATGTTTTTACCCTTGGGAGGTGATCTGGAACGCTTGGAATCGACCCCCTGGTGCTCTTGGTGAATCTTCACACCCCCCAAAAATGGATTTAGTCTGTTTTGATCCACTCTAAAATATTCAAAAATATGTTTTTCTTGGATTGGATGTGTATTTCGCTCGATGGTTGATACTTATTTTTCGTTCACCATCGAATATCCTTTTTCATGTAAATGGATTTGCTACTGCACCACTTAGATTTACACATGGAACCCCATTAAAAAAGGCCGAAATGCAGTGAAAATCATCTAACTGGGACTGCATTTGTCAGGTTTCATGTTAATGTCAACCCCGGATTAATAAACAATGGTTTATTAATTGGGGGGGTACTCCCCAAATAGTCATTTCATCTGATACTTAAATGGTATCCCCCCAATTAAACAACCGTTTGGGGTTTATTAATCCAGGGTTGACATTAACTATCATGTGGTCGGGAAACTCTTATTAGCTCCTTGGCTCCCAGGGGGATACTCATAGCTCCGACCCCCGTCCCAGCGTCGTCGGGATTCAAATCTGCCTGGGACTGACGGATGGCGCAGGCCTATAATCCCCGTGTGAATTTCAGGATGGGGCTGCGTTACCATTTTTCCCGAGAGCGTCTGAGCGCAGGGTTCTTCCAATAGTGGGGGTCTGTAAAACACCTTCTCATCTTCACATCTTCTCTCACATCTGCTCATCTTCACATCTTCTCTCACATCTTCTCTCACATCTGCTCATCTTCACATCTGCTCATCTTCGCATCTTCTCTCACATCTGCTCATCTTCACATCTTCACATCTTCTCTCACATCTGCTCATCTTCACATCTTCTCTCACATCTTCTCTCACATCTTCTCTCACATCTGCTCATCTTCACATCTTCTCTCACATCTGCTCATCTTCACATCTGCTCATCTTCACATCTGCTCATCTTCACATCTGCTCTCACATCTGCTCATCTTCACATCTTCTCTCACATCTGCTCATCTTCACATCTGCTCATCTTCACATCTGCTCATCTTCACATCTTCTCTCACATCTTCTCTCACATCTGCTCATCTTCACATCTGCTCATCTTCACATCTGCTCATCTTCACATCTTCTCTAACATCTTCTCTCACATCTGCTCATCTTCACATCTTCTCTCACATATTCTCTCACATCTGCTCATCTTCACATCTTCTCTCACATCTGCTCATCTTCACATCTTCTCTCACATCTGCTCATCTTCACATCTGCTCATCTTCACATTTGCTCATCTTCACATCTTCTCTAACATCTTCTCTCACATCTGCTCATCTTCACATCTTCTCTCACATATTCTCTCACATCTTCTCTCACATCTTCTCTCACATCTGCTCATCTTCACATCTTCTCTCCTTTCTCTCTCCCTTTTCTCTCTCTCGCCTTCTTTATCTTTCTCTCTTAAGGCCGAGGGTGGTGCCGGCGGCGAGTCACGAAACGTCAACCCTTTCGCACGAAATGAGGGTCGATCGTCAAAAACTGAAGAAAAATTGCGATTTTACTTGTCCCGGAGCAACCCTTTCGCACGAAATGAAGGTCGATCGTCAAAAACTGAAGAAAAATTGCGATTTTACTTGTCCTGGAGCAACCCTTTCGCACGAAATGAGGGTCGATCGTCAAAAACTGAAGAAAAATTGCGATTTTACTTGTGCTAAAGCAACCCTTTCGCACGAAATGAGGGTCGATTGTCAAAA